TATCTTGAAACTTTTTAAAAAAACAAAAACTAAGCCCGAAAAGAGATACTCTCAAGTCCCGCCCACCGACCCGCCCACTGGCCTGTCCGCGCACCGGGAAAACGCAGCAGCTCGGCTCGGTGGCCCGAGGCGCACAGCGCGGTCACCAGCCGGTGGCCCTGCGTGGTCTTGCCAGCACGGTCCACGCCCTCCAGCACGATGAGCGCCCCCCGACGCGAAGCCATCGCCATCCCGCTCAGTTCCCGCCAACCTGTCAGGTTCCCGCCAATGTTAGCTGCAGCAGAAGGCGGGAGCGCGCAGGTACTGCCGCACCGCCTCTTCCGGCTGGAAGCCGAGTTCGTGTAGCCTGAGGAAGAACCGATTCCGGTTCCGGACGTTGCGTAGCCCGTGGCCCGGGTCCCAGCTGCCTGGTAACCTCCCACTCGCGGAACTTCCGTTTGCAGTGCCCTGGAAGGGCCAATCTAGGGTTAGGGTTGTGCAGGCTCCGCTCACGTGGAAATCCCACAACAGTAGCGGAATCAAATTTTCATGGCTCTGAGCTCGCAACTGCAGGGTTCTAAAAGTTGTTTTTATCACAAGAAAAGAGCCATTTTAGCGGGGCGGTGGTGGTCCACGCCTTTAATCCTAGCATTTAGAAGGCAAAGGCAGCCGGATCTCTGTGAGTTCGAGACCAGGCTGGTCTACAGAGCGAGTTCCAGAACAGGCTCCAACGCTACAGAGAAACCCTGTCTTGAAAACAAACAAACAAACAAATAAACCCATCTTATGCTTTCTTCCAAGACGTGCTGCAGCTTCATCAAAGCGTTCAGAAATGTTTGCTGTTTTAGTGTACTGGGACTGTGTCAAAAACCGAGGGACAGAGTTGGTGGAAGTAATTGGATTTAATTGCAGCCTTGGCCAGAACTGAACAATTCCCATTTTCTTCTTGCTTTGCTCCAGTAGTGTTTTTATAGAAACGATTACAATCAGGAAAAATAAATGTGCTGGAGGCAGGCACAATTTATGCGAGTTTGAGGTCAGCTTGATGTACATAGCAAGTTCCAGGGCTGCATTGTGAGGCCAGATCTCAAAACAGCACTCGGAGGCTGAGGCAGAAGTATAGTGAGTTAAAGGCTAATACGTTTCAATAAGACTGATTAGGGGGTCTGGAGGTGGTGGCCTTAATCCCAGCAGTTGGGAGGCAGGGACAGACGGATCTCTGTGAGTTTGAGGCCAGCCTGATCTACAGAGTGAGTTACAGGACAGCAAGGGCTGTCACACAGAGAAACCCTGTCTTGAAAAAACAAGGGGCTGGAGAGATGGGTCAGAGGTTAAGAGCACAGGCTGCTCTTTAAGAGGTCCTTAGTTCAATTCCCAGCAACCACACGGTGGATCACAACCATTTATAATGAAATCTGCTGCCCTCTTTCTTCTGATGTGCAGGCATGCAAGCCAGCAGAACACTGTATACATAATAAGTAAAATAAATCTTAACAAAAAAGAGGTCATCAAGCTTTGAAAAAAAAAGAAAAAACAAACAAACAAAAAACAAAACTGATTAGGAGGCTCTCAGCATTCACCTAACACAAATAAAGCCCTAGATTTCATACCCAGCACAGAAAAATCGATATATTGGGAGACATATCTTATAATCCTGACCCCTTGGGAGGTGGAGGCAGGAGAAGAAATTCAAGGTCTATGCAAACTGACACCTAGTCAGAGAAGGTATTCACATGCCCAACAGATATGTAAACATGCTCAACATGAGCATTATTAGGAATCGTACATTAAAAGAAGATAACTTCACACCTCTACTAGACTAGCCCAAACCTACAATTCCAACTATACAGCATGCTGGTGAGGTTTTGGAGCAAAGGAAAATATCAATGCGGATGAGAAAGTAAAACCTGTGTGTGTGTGTGTGTGTGTGTGTGTGGCCACTTCGGAAGACAGCTTGGCTGTTCCTCAAGAAACTTCTTTACTCTTTAATATATGGTCAGTATTTATTCAAATGAGCTGGAAACTATGTCTACAGAAATTCCTGCAGGCAAATGGTTGTATCAGTTCTATTTGTATTTGTCTAAACATAGAAGCAGCTAAGATGTCTCTAACAGGCAAACTAATAAACTGGTTAATTACACAGTAGAATCCTTTTCAACTAAAAAAGAAATCAACTATCAAGTCATACTAGGACATGGAAGAACCTGAAGTGTCCTAGTATAGGGGAAGCCAGTCTGAAAAGTCTATACTGTAAGCCCCAACTACATGGCATTCCAGAAAATAGCAAAACTACAGAGATTTTAAAATGTTTATTGGTTACAAAAGTATATGTGTGTGTGTGTGTGGGGGGGGTCCCATACTGTAGTATTAAGGCAGTGAATATTCTTCAGGATGCTGTAACGGAATACTTAGTATGTATTTGTCAGAAATATGAGACTCCAGCAAGCGTGGACTCTCGTAAACTATGGATTTTAGTTAATAATGTATCAATATTGTTTCATTAACTGTAACAAAGTTGCCATAGGGATGCAAAATGTCTACAATTGAGGAAATTGTTGGAGACCCTTATACAGATTGTATGCTCAATTTTTCAGGAAACATAAGACTGCTTTGAAAAAGATTATTAGTCTTTAAAATGAGCTCCAGAACAGAGATATTTGAACAGAAAAGCAGGTCCAGTAAAGTCGTGTATATGTTCTCACGAGGCATTAGGCGTTCAGGAATGAGCACCTTCTTCAAAGGGAAGGACCTGGACGCAAAGTAAAGACCATTGGTTTAGTATTTGGACCGAGTGGGAAACATTTTAAATTGCTATATAGTTCGAATTTTTTTCTAGAGTAAATGCTTCTAAGGCTGGGAATATAGTTCACTTGGTAGAATGCTTACTGAGCACTCACAGATACCAAGTAAACTGGGCATGGTGGCACACCGCTATAATATTAGGACTTGGGAGGTGGAGGCTGAAGGAACAGTTCAAGATCATCTTTGGCTGCATATTCAGATTGTGGGCAACCGGGGCTACATGTCCCCCAAAATTGCATTTTAAATAATGAGGACCCTGGTCCAGGGGATATGGTGGCACATGCCCTTAGTCCTAGCACTGGGGAGGCAGAGGCAGCTGATCTGTATGAGTTCAAGGCCAACCTGGTCTCTATTTTAGCAAGTTTGAGGACATCCAGAGCTACATAAATAGGAAGACCCTGTCTCAGAAAACCCAAAAGAAGGGGCTGGAGAGATGGCTCAATGGTTAAGAGCATTGCCTGCTCTTCCAAAGGTCCTGAGTTCAATTCCCAGCAACCACATGGTGGCTCACAACCATCTGTAAAGAGGTCTGGCGCCCTCTTCTGGCCTGCAGGCATACAGACAGAATATTGTATACATAATAAATAAATAAATTATACATAAAAAAAAAAAAAAAAAAAAAGAAAACCCAAAAGAAAAAGGAAAACCCTGACCGGGCGGTAATGGCACACGCCTTTAATTCCAGCACTCGGGAGGCAGAGGCAGTCGGGTGTCGGTGAGTTCGAGGCCAGCCTGGTCTACAAGAGCTAGTTCCAGGACAGGCTCCAAAGCTACACAAGAAAATCCTGATTCTTTAGTGCTGAAGAGATGGTTCAGAGTTTAAAAGCATTTGCTGCTCTGTAGAGGAACTGGCTTCTGTTCTCAGCATCTACATGGTGGCTTACAACTCTAGTTTCAGGGGATCTAATGCCCTTTCCCAGCCTTCCTGGGCACCAGGCAGGCACGTGATGCACATGTGTGAAAAACACTCATACCTGTTAAAATAATAAAATCTAAAAAATTGTATAACCAACAATGTCAGAGGCTGAGGCTGTGAGGATTGTTCTGGCACTATTGCTGTAACCCCAGCTGTTCCTTGGCCCTGGAGCTTTCAGGACAGGAATTCCTTATTCCCGGGCAGCGTGAAGTTAGAGTGAAAGGATTGGCCCGTGACACCTAAACTTACGCCCATGAAATTTTGCAGAAGATAATTTCCTTATCTTAGCTGGCTCGGAGTGACAGGGGCTAAGTGGTGACTGGCAAGCGCATCCACGCTGATAACACCGAGTAAGGTCCGGACACAGAGAACCCACACTTAATTCCACCATCTGACATATTTAAGTGGCACCCAGCGCACCCCCTTTTGTTTGTTTTTAGAGACAGGGTTTCTCTGTGTAACCTTGGCTGTAGACCAGACTAGCCTCGAACTCAGAGATCTGCCTGTCTCTGCTGTACTGGAATTAAGGGATGTGCCATTACCACCCCCGCTAACTTTCCTTTTTATTGTTTTTTTTTTTTTTCTAAATTTGTGACGAGGGTCTCGCTAGTCTGGGCGGGCAGGTAGACGACGGCAGGCCTTGAACTCATGGCGACAGACCTCCTTCTGCCTCCCGAGTGCTGGGTTTTAAAGGCGCGTGCTCTCACGCCCGGCTTTCCAGGTATTTTTTGCAGGCGTCGAGGTGTGCATGGCCTCTTCACGAAGTGCGGGTCAGGACACGCAGGTCCAGCGTGGGCACGCCCCTCGGGACTAAATAGCAACACAGCGCATCAATGTTAACCAAGGCGCGCGCGCGCGTGTGTGTGTATGTGTGTGTGTGTGTGTGTGTGTGTGTATGGAGGGGGGGGGGGATCTCCTTCCTGGAGGACCACGCTGCCACCTTCGAGAAGCCACAAGCAGCGGGCGCCGGCTCTCGGGCCGACCAGACCCCAGATCCGAACAACGCCGGCAGAGACCGGAAAGTGAAGCTCGGAGCCGGCACACGTGTAGGCAGGGTTCCCCAGTCGAGCGCTCGACAGGGCACTGCCAAGGCTCGGACCTCTGCGGGAGCCAGAGAAGTAGCTTCCGCATCGCCAACCGCCGACGGACTCCATCGCCCACCCGGATCTCCTCAGGGGAAGCCCCACAGCGCCCCCTGACGACCGCAGCCGGCCGGAAGCGTGGGGGTGGGCCCTGACGTGCCCCGCCCCTCCGCCGGCCAATCGGCGCGCGCAGCTCATGAATAGTGAGCGCGCGGCGCCGCCCCGCCCCGAGTCCGCGGCACCGCCCGCTCGCGCAGACCCCGAGCGTGGCCGCAGCGAAGATGGCGACTGCCATGTACTTGGAGCACTATCTGGACAGTAAGCACCTTGGTCGAGCCGCCCGCCCTCGCGGGTCTGCTCCGCCGCCGCCCCTGGCCCACCGCGACTCGTGCGGGACCCCGGGGTGCGGTCGCGGATGGGGACCGGTCATGGGAACAAGTGGGGGATCACGGCCTTTCTGGGGCGGGGTCGTGGATGGAGGGCGTGGGGCGCGGCGCGGGGTCCCGCCGCCTCCGCCGCGCCAATTCCAGGTGCGTCACGCAGGGGCGGAGCCTGAGGCTCAGCCCGCCCTCTCCGCTTCAGCCACACCCCCCGACGCCGACCACGCCCCGGTCCCCTCCCCTCCAATTCAGTCTTGCTTGGGGGAGGTCCGCCCCTTCTTAACCTGAGGCTTGTGGTGTTTGCTTTTGGAACAGCAGTAGGGAGCTTTAGGCTAGTGGGGTACGTTATTTCGCGGGAAGTCGTGCTGTCTGTCACAAGCCAGTCTGACAGGGTACGATGTCCTGTGTAACAGGTTGATCTTTGACATCCCGGGCATGTCTTCCTCCGTTTATTTTTAGACGGTGAGATTGACTCCCGGCGAGAATTGAGGGAGATTATTTTTCCACTCTTTACGTGTGAGGAATTGAGACCCTTTGTAGGGAGGTGGATCAAGCCAGTGCGGCGCCCTAGTGCTTTGATTATCTAGCTGGGTTTGGGAAGTGGGTGTCCAAGGTGATCTGTCATCAGTCTAGTGTCCATCCAGTGGGTATTCTGAGGTGGATCCAAGACGGGTTCATTTCAGTGTTGGCATCATGTGATGGTTGATGTCCACACTCTCCACCTGCCCTGTGCCACAGGTGGGCAGGAGCCCCATTTCTCCACAACTCACTGATAATTGAGGCACACTCACCCCCCCCCTTTTTTTTTAAAGTTCATAGAAGTCTCAGGCCTGGAAATAAATGTAGCAGTGGAGACTGCAGATAAAGGGTCCTCTCTCTGAGAGTAGAGAGGGCCACTGGATGGTCGAGTGTTGACTAGCTTGCCAGGGCCATGGAGTCAGGCTGTGGGTGATAATGACTTGATGAGCTCAGGAAGATACAGGCTTATAGCGGCAAGTGTTATAAGATGTAGGCCTAAAGTACTGGCCATGTTGGCTGTGGAGAGTATTTGGAGTGGGACAGGACCCAGAAGGAGCCTGCCGAGAGCTTGATGCAGGTGGCTCTTCACCAGGGGACACAGTGCAGGCAGGAAAGCAGTGGACTAACTCTAACCACAGGGACTAGAGAGCTACTCGGTGGCTCTGGTTGCATTTCCAGGGCTCACGGCTGCATGTGGCTAGAGGCTGATATGTTGGGCCGTGCAGAGAGAGCATGTCTTGGGGACCGCTTGGTCAACAGTTCCTGGTGCAGTAGCCGTCAGGACAGGGTTGGAGAAATCCAGGAGGACTCTTTTTTTTTTTTTTTTGGTTTTTCGAGACAGGGTTTCTCTGTGGCTTTGGAGCCTGTCCTGGCACTAGCTCTGTAGACCAGGCTGGTCTCGAACTCACAGAGATCCGCCTGCCTCTGCCTCCCGAGTGCTGGGATTAAAGGCGTGCGCCACCATCGCCTGGCTTCCAGGAGGACTCTTTAGCACATTTCATAAGAACCCAGAGGAAGACATTGGGGTTCAACTTGAAAGTCAGAAAAGCAAAACAGCCAACTACTGGCTCCTATCTCTACCTCAGTCTGAAATGACATCCTGCCTCCGGGAATCTCAGAAAGAGACTGTGTGTGAGAGCCGTCTTCTCCCGTTTTATATTCCTCTCTAGGGCTGGGATTAAAGGTGTGTGTTATTGCTGCCTGGTCTGTGAGGCTGACGAGTGTGGCTGTTTTACTCTCTGGTCTTCAGGCAAGCTTTAGTTATTAAAATACAAATGAAATATCACGATAGGACCCAGGTTCTCTCAGGCTGTTGGTACCTGCCCCTAAAATGGTCTCAGTCATTTTAGTTCCTAACTGGAACAGAAATGATGATAAAGCCTGCAGGCTTTGGTGTAAGGCCCTGGAGATAGGTTTTTTTTCTTCCCACTAAAGATTTATTGATTTATTTTATTTTGTGTATATGTGTGTTTTGCCTGCATGTATGTCTATGCACCACATGTGTGCAGTGCCCTCTGAGGCCAGAGAGGACATCAGATCCCCAGAACTGGAGTTACAGATGGCTGTGAGCTTTCACATAGGTGATGAGACTTGAACCCGGGCCCTCTGGAAGAGCAGTAAGTGCTCTTAGTAGCTGAGCCATCTCTCCAGCCCTAGAGGCAGATTTTCGTCTGCTGAGAAGTACAGCCTTTTCTTGTCTCTTTCAGGCATTGAGAACCTTCCCTGTGAACTTCAGAGGAACTTCCAGCTGATGCGAGAGCTAGACCAGAGAACGGAAGGTGGGTATAGCCTGAGCTGGGTTTTGAGCATTGGTCAGAGAGAGATGGCAAAGGACATAGGGTATCAGAGAGCTCTGAAGGGACCTTGTATAGCACAGGCTTTGCATCATACAATGTCTTCGAGACAAGATTTCTCTGTGTATCCCTGGCTGTCCTGGAACTCATCCTGTAGACCAGGTTGGCCTTGAATTCAGAGATCCACCTGCCTCTGCCTCCCAAGTGCTGGGATTAAAGGCGTGCGCCACCACTGTCTGACTTGTAGTCAGAGTTTTCCTGTCCCCACCGCTTGCTCCCAAATAATCAACATGGAGATTTAAGATTGCTTATAAGTACAAAACTCTGACTACACTTGGTGGGTTTTTTTCTTGTGTAGTTTTTTGAGACAAGGTCTTTCTATGTTGCCTTGACTGGCCTGGAACTGCCTGTGTAGAGCAGGCCAAACTCATAGGGATCCTCCTGCCTCTGTCTCCTGAATGTTGAGATTAGATGTGTGTACCACCATGCCCATCTCAGGTTCTTATTTATTTATTTAGAGATGAGGTCTTAATTCCATAGCCTAGGCTGCCCATGAACTCCCAATGTACCTTCCATAGCCTCCTGTGTGTGGGGGTCGGGAGGAGAGTGCTGGTGCTTTTAACTCAAGTGTAGTTTCTTGGTTTGTTTGTTTGTTTTTAATCTCTGTGTGTGTACATACATGATATGTGTATATGCACGTGTGTGGGTACACACTTGTCATGGCATATAGGACAGGACAGCCTTGGGTTCAGAGACAAGATCTCTTTTCTTGTTTACTTCTGCATATTTGGGATTTTCCAGTCTCTGGCCCCCATCTCCCAGTGAGTGCGCTGGAATTACAGATGCACATGCGAGCACACTTGGCTCTTTTTTTTTTTTTTTTTTTAAGATTTATGTATTTTGTATACAGTGTTCTGGCATGTGTGCCTACACACCAGAAGAGGGCGCCAGACCTCATTATAGATTGCTGGGAATTGAACTCAGGACCTCTGGAAGAGCAGCCAGTGCTCTTAACTTCTAAGCCATCTCTCCAGGCCCCCCACCCCTTTTTTTCCCCACACTTGGCTTTTAAGTGGTTTTTGGGGGGCTTGGACTCATGTCATTATCACAGTGATGGCTTTACCCACTGAGCTATTTCCCCAGCCTGGTTTCTGGCTTCCTACACAATTTTTAGAGCTTTTCAGCTATTGTCCTTTACAGTCAGAATGTTTGTTGCTCTTCTCCTTCCAAGTTTTTTTTCCCATTTCTGTACCGTTTATAAGTGAGTATTCCTTATCCAAAATGCTTTGGGCCTGGAGTGTTTTGGATTTTTATGTTTTTCCATTTTGGAACATTTACAACTGTACTGAACTATCCTGGGGGGTTGCAACTCATCTAAACAGGGAAAATTTTTGTCGGGAAGGCAGTTTTATATGACATTGTTATTGGTCTTGTGTGTGGAATGTTTGAAGAAGTCCCACTTCTTGGTTAGAGCAGAGTTGCATGTGTCCCTGCTCTTGGAAGCATGCAGCGTGTTTTTACACGTTTTGCTCTGTTGTTCACCGTCAACATCTGTTGGACTCAACCATAGGTTGTAAGTCATTAGTTGGCCTTGTACCCTAGGTGGTGTGGATGTAGCATAGCCTCGCTCACTAGTCTGACTGTGGGTTGGACATTTTCACCGCTTCTTGCTTTTGTGGGTTTTGTGTGTTTTCCTAAGTGTATTTTGGTGCCTAAGTGCTCCTCCTGTGGGTATGTGACTAAGTTGTGCACCAGGAAGTAGGCACGATGCCCATAAAATGTGCTGTTCATGAGAGTCAGAGGGCAATTTGACTGCCTGCTAGATGATGCTTGTGTTGGGTCTGCCTTGGACAAGTCGCTGTGTCACAAAGTGTACACTGGCATGGCCGCCAGTGACGCTCCTGCCAGCTTCTTGGATGCGTGTCACTCTACCTCTTTCTTCCGCCTCTCACCGGTCCCCCTTAGATAAGAAGGCAGAGATTGACATCCTGGCTGCGGAGTATATTTCCACAGTGAAGACTCTCTCTTCAGACCAGCGTGTGGAGCACCTGCAGAAGATCCAGAACGCCTACAGCAAGTGCAAGGAGTACAGTGACGACAAGGTGCAGCTAGCCATGCAGACCTATGAGATGGTGAGTGTAGGGGCGCAGTGCAGGCCTTCACTCCTGCCTCCCATGCCGCAGGAGGAAAAAGGTGTATGGAAACATGTATCTAGGGTGGGAGTTTAGAGCATCCAGAGAGAGGGTGCATTGGGGGTCGCCATCTGGGCCTACTTCCATGATTTTGCTTTTTTGGGCCCTGCTTGTCTTGCTTGTTGGTGGAACCATTGTTTGTTGGTGTTTTCCTGGGGAGGTCTAATCCAGGGCTTTGTGCACACCAGGCAAGCGCTGAGCCACTGAGCTGCATCCCTAGCCTTCGTTTTACTATGAAGTCACATGTCCAAGTGTCCTTTTGCAGGTGGACAAACACATCCGAAGGCTTGATGCTGACCTGGCACGCTTTGAGGCTGACCTGAAGGACAGGATGGACGGAAGCGACTTTGAAAGCACTGGATCACGAAGCTTGAAAAGCAAGTTGACTGATGTTCTCTTTGCTAGTGACTGCAGTTTGGAAGGCTTTCCTCTAAATGTGTTAGGGACACGATGGTAAATGAGTGGGTGAATCTTGTTCCACGTTGGTCTGTTCTGTGATAATAATGGGTCTTTGTCCTTCAGAAGGTCGGAGTCAGAAAGAAAAGAGAAGCTCCCGGGGCCGAGGCAGGAGGACGTCAGAAGAGGACACACCTAAGAAAAAGAAGCATAAAAGCGGGTAAGATGTTTCCACCCTCTTTTCCCAATGGAACACTGGTTTTCGAGCAGCAGGGAGAATGCCTGGGTGAGTCCCCACTACTCTAGCACTTCATGCCTGCTGAGCCAGGCCAGGTGCACACTGTCCTTGGGCAGTCTCTTCACATCCTGTGTACGCGACAGTTCATATGTATACCACCCTCGGCGTCAGGAGAGTGCTGCGTACTTACTGGCAGTGCTGGGTCGAAGCCACTCTATAAGTAGCTGAACTTACTGTTGGTGGTTTTATACAATGATGCGTGTTTTGTCCATGTTTGCCGTTAAACTATGTGACTGCACTTATTAGACACAACATCATTTATCCTGAATTCTTCAGGCTTGTCTACCACTTTCTTCTCCCAGAGGCATTGTGCTGTTTCACTGACGTGATGTCTGGACTAAAGGGAAAATTGTGAAGTGACAGGAGACCTCTGGCCATGAGTTCTGGGGGAGGCTGGAGAAGCCAAAGCTTGACCAAAGCGGGAGGGCAGGGAACTCTGGCTGAACCTCCTGGTGCTTGGGTGTTGTGGGGAGTGGAAACCCAGGGCCTTGCATATGCTAAGCACTAGCTCTTGTTCAGTCCCTGAGCTACAGCCAGTCCTCCCAACAGGGTCCTGGTTTTTGTTTTGTTTTGTTTATGTTTTGGGGTAAGGTTAGATATATGGCCAAGACTGGCCTTGGACTAATGATCTTTCTTCCTCAGCCTCCTAAGTACTTACGTACTGTGAATACAGACCATAAATTTTGTTTTGTTTTTCGAGACAGACTTTCTCTGTAGCTTTGGAGCCTGTCCTGGAGGTAGCTCTTGTAGACCAGACTGGCCTTAAACTCATAGAGATCTGCCTGCCTCTGCCTCCCAAGTGTTGGGATTAAAGGTGTGCACCATCACCGCCTGGCTGATAAAGCAAGTTTGTATACTAGTGAGGTACCTATTAATGTTACTTGTTTTTAACATAAAAATTTGTTTTTGCTTGAGATTTGATAGTGAAGGATTTAGAACATTCTCATTGTTTTTTAGAGTTGATTGATCTTTTAATTTTACAATTGTCAGTGCTAAGAATTTCTTAGGTTTTGTTTGTTTTTTTGGTCTTTTTGTTTTGTTTTAGTTTTGAGACAGAATCTCACCATGTAGTCCTGGTCTGGAACTCACAGAACCTGCTTCTGTTTCCCAAGTGCTGAGATTATTTGGTTATTGAGTATTCTGAAACCTACTGTTGCCAGATTTTCTGAGGAACCCCCACCCTCACACATTCATATAGTTTAGGATTCGTGACCCACAGTTCAAGAAGCTGAGGTCTAAGCAGTGCTGCTAAGTAGAATTCCTTTGTGAACCGGGGTTGAGGGGAGGCTTAATCTGTGTGCATCTAACCAGTACCTCCCCAGTGGGCTGTGCAGCTATTACAGATGTCTGCTCATTGTGGGAGAGAATCAGACTATAGGTTAGCAACTTGTGTATGCATAAAGATGATAGTTTTCAGTGCTAGAGCACCCGTTTGATTTGATTCCCTTTTTAAAAATACAGTTTTGGCTCCTATTTTTGAAAATGATGTATATTTCTATCCATTTAGTCATAAATATTTTTTAATATTTATTTATTTATTCATTCATTTATTTATTTATTTATTTGTTTATCGTACAGCATTCTGCCTGCATGTATGCCTGCAGGCCAGAAGAGGGCACCAGATTTCATTATAGATGGTTGTCAGCCACCACGTGGTTGCTGGGAATTGAACTCGGGACCTCCGGAAGAGCAGCCAGTGCTCTTAACCTCTGAGCCATCCCTTCAGTCCTAGTCATAAATCTTTTAACCTTTTCTTTTTTTTTTTTTTTTTAGATAGGTCTTAGTCTTTGGCCAAAAATCAATGCACTTTGAACTCTGGCATCCCGAGTGCCGAGCATTAACTTCCTTACGATAGCTATTTAAAGCTCTCTTCTCTCAAGTTTACATCCCGAAAGGCTGTATATGTGTTCTGTAAATCAGCTTCTTACTGCCCTCATTGCTTCTCCGTTGAGGACAAACTGGCTGTGAAAATGAGTCCTGGTCTCACAGACTCTAGAGCGAGGAAATTGTCACTCTGCCTTTGTTGACATAAAACTCAATTAGTTCATGTTCAGCACATAGACTGGGTGTCCATGGCTACCACATGTAGGTCCTACAGTGTTATGTAAATAGCTCGACCACCCTTCTTGCCAAATCTACCAGATGGACAACCTCTCTCTTGCTGCAGATCACCCAGCTCTATTACTCCAGGGTCTTGCTGCCTGTAAAGTGGTTTTGAGCTTTGCATTTCTGACTTGTGGGATGGCAGCATGGTGTCTCTGCTCCTTCCTTCCCCAAAACCCAGACGCCATGCTTCTGGGTTTGCACAGACAGTCTTGCTGGTTGTCTTCTTCACTGAGTGTTTTCCATAGTGTCCTCAGCACAAGGAGCTCAGTATAGGGGTCTCTAGGTGGTGGGGAAGCCAGTACCCACTGGCTGGAGCATCCCCCTAAGGCCTCAGGTATAAGACAGGCATTGTAACTACTCCTAAAATCTCACAGATGAGGCAGACTGTTCAGTTTCTCCCTTGACAGGAGCCACCATGTTATGTCTGATGCTTAGGAGACAGTCACTGCTTTCAGACCTGCTTGCTGGGCTTGCTGCAGCCGTGGCTGGTTGGTGACAGTGGTAGGGCACCTGTTCCCTCTGGCCCATGAGTGGCGGTGCAGCCGCTATCCCAATTTGCATATGTTCAGTCGGGAGAGTGCTGGAACAAGGGGTGTGCTCAGGCCTTGACAGTAGGCATCCAGAGATAGCCCAAGGCACTGAAGTCCTGGACTTGCTGTATCAGGGTGGGAGCTTGTGGCTTCAGAGCCTGAAGCTTAGACACTTGCCTGTTGCTGTCTTGAGTTCTACACAGTGCCTGTCTCTAGCCTGTGTTCGGCAGGTTTTTTTCCATGATGAGATGGACTAACGTGTCAGTTATAGCTTGTGGTATCCATCATTTTCCATGGGAGACCTGGAGCAGTGCTCAGTCAGGTTCCCGTGGCCCAGTGGCCACTTGGCCAAAGGACTTGGCAGCAGCTGTGTCATAGCTGTGCCAGCTTGTGCTTGCCATAGCCTCATGGGAACTGGCCATATTAATTTATATCACTATCTCACCTTGTGCTTGCCATAGCCTCATGGGAACTGGCCATATTAATTTATATCACTATCTCACCTTGTGCTTTCCATAGCCTCATGGGAACTGGCCATATTAATTTATATCACTATCTCACCTTGTGCTTGCCATAGCCTCATGGGAACTGGCCATATTAATTTATATCACTATCTCACCTTGTGCTTGCCGTAGCCTCATGGGAACTGGCCATATTAACTTATATCACTATCTCACCTTGTGCTTGCCATAGCCTCATGGGAACTGGCCATATTAATTTATATCACTATCTCACCTTGTGCTTGCCATAGCCTCATGGGAACTGGCCATATTAATTTATATCATTCTCACCTTGTGCTTGCCGTAGCCTCATGGGAACTGGTCATATTAATTTATCATCACTATCATTCCTGGTTGAGGTGTAAGTATGGATAGTGGTATTACAGGTTTAGGGATTATACTGTGTCGACTGCCCTACAGTTTACATGGTTATTTGAAAAGCACATGTAAAGGGGCTGGAGATGGCTCAGTGGTTAAGAGCATTAACTGCTCTTCCAGTGGACCCAGTTTTAATTCCCAGCACCCACATGGCAGCTCCTTGCTGTCTAGAAATCCAGTTCCAGGAGACTCGACACTCTCGCACAGATATACAGGCAGGCAAAATACCAATGTAGCCTGGGCTACAAGAGCTAGTTCCAGGACAGGCTCCAAAGCTACAGAGAAACCTTGTCTCGAAAAAAAAGAAAACCACATGTAAAGTGTAAGTTCAATGTCCTGGTCTATAGTGAAGGGTGGGCTTCACTGTGTAGGCACCAGGTACCGGGGAGAGCGAAGGGGCAGCATTCTCACCAGGCTGCTGTTTAGAGACCAGAGGCAGCTTCCAGCATTGGGGAGTGAGTAGGATAGTGTAGAAGGAGCTGCAGGCAGGCCTGCTTTTCATCCCTTCCGGCTCCCACACGACTAACTTTACACCCGAAATAACAACACACAAACTGTATTCATATAAACACTGCCTGGCCCATTATATCTAGCCTCTTCTTGGCTAACTCTCACATCTCGACTAACCCATTTCTAATAATCTGTGTAGCGCCACGAGGCAGTAGCTTACCAGAAGGATTCTAGCCTACGCCCATCTTGGGCCAGAGCTTCATCGTGTCTGCCCTGGAGAGAAGCGGCATGGCTCTGAGCTCACTTCCCTTCTTCCCAGCATTCTGTTCTGTCTACTCCACCCACCTAAGGGCTGGCCTATCAAATGGGCCAAGGCAGTTTCTTTATTAACCAATGAAATCAACAGATTGACGATTGACATATGACCTTCCCACATCAGGATAGTGTGTACCAAGCTGATTCTTGTTAGTCTGGTGGGCAGCTGGGTGAGGTTAATGGGTAGATACTTGGAACCCAAAGGAGACTAAGAAGGGTATCTGGATAGATACCTTTCCAAGAGAGGAGGGTATAGCCATTGGTTCTGGTGAGTGCCTCAACCCTGAGGTCAGCCTTGGGTGAGACACAGACTCTTCCCAAATGTTAGCTATCTGCTGGCAGGGGGCCATGCTTTTGTCACCACCAGGAGGTGACAGCTGAAACAGAAGGGAGGCCCAGAGAAAGCAGCAGCTTTGTCCATTTGGAGGGGTCTTTGTCCCCAGTAGGCAGCAATGGTTGATGTTGGATTAAGTTGCTGCTGAGTGCCATTAGCAATCTCAGACCCCACTGCCTGCTTCTACGACCTCTGCTGTTATTAAGTGGGTAGTGTGAGTGCCGTGTGCTGCTGCCCCAGGTTTGTGGCTGTGACGGTCCAAGGGAATCTCTTCGCTGATATTAGCACACCATATTATTCTCACTATAAATTCTTAGAGATTTGGCTGGAAGGTTGTGAGGTTATCCTTGAAAATGTATCTCAGTGACGGGTATTAGGGCTGTTCCCAAGTTCCAGTAACAAGGAAATCGGAAGCAAGTTTATGAGTGATCATTAGCTCAGGGTCACTGCAGATTCTTCCCTTGAAACCTGCAAGCATCTTTGGCTCCAGGGGAGAGGAGCTGTGGGCCGTTGATGGAAGGGCGGTGGTATGGCCTTGTGCATCTGCTGCCTTCCTCCTGTTGTCCTGTAGTCAGCAGATCTTTCCCTCCCTTCAGGTCTGAGTTTACCGACAGCATCCTATCTGTGCACCCCTCTGACGTGCTGGACATGCCTGTGGATCCAAATGAGCCTACGTACTGCCTGTGCCACCAGGTGTCCTACGGGGAGATGATCGGCTGTGACAATCCAGATGTGAGTGCTCTCTGTATAGCCTTCCTATTCTGGAACTCACTATGTAGACAAGACTGGCCTTGAACTCACAGAGATCCGCCTGCCTCTGCTTCCCAAGTGCTGGGATTAAAGATGAGCTTCACCATCACCCAGCATGAGTGGATCTTAAAGGATACATGTTCCCTGGGACGAACTTTGTAGAGATGGGTGGGTGTTAACCTTTCTATGTCTAACATACAGAGTGCATAGATGTGACACAGGTTTTTCCCTTGCTTTGCAGTGTCCAATTGAGTGGTTTCACTTTGCCTGTGTGGATCTCACCACAAAGCCCAAAGGAAAGTGGTTAGTATGGGGTTGACTGCAGTCTCGGACAAGCCTGTCTGGTGCTCTGGGTCTTGTTGTATGTCTCCGTATTTCTGCAGCACTGGTCCTGACTGGGGAGGGGAGGTGGTGGTGTTAGCAGACTTAGAGACAGAGGTCTACTGCTCAGCTTACCTGGGTGTGTATATAGTCTTACACTGACGCCCTTGGAAGAAGGGCTCCCTGTCTCCAGCCCAGTGTGCACCCAGTGTTCCAGGCCAGTGCTCTTCCACTGGACTGTGTCACCTTCGCCCTCTGGCTCCAGGTTGGGTAGCGCTTATTTTCAGCAAAATAAAAAAAAAATAAAAAATAAAAAACAAAAAAAAAAAAAAAAGGAGAGCAGGTTCTTGTCTCCAGGGGAAAATGGGGATCATGAAGAACATAGGAAGGAACTGTAGAATTGTTGTGTTCCCCTCCAGGGGCTCCATCTACCAGGGCACAGGAGGCTTGCATGTTCCTGTTTCCATCCTACATTTGGCCAGCAGCAGACTACTTAACTGTTCAAGAGGTTCTCAAGGTTTTCTTTGAATAAAAACCTGGTTTTGTTGACTTATGTTAAAAGTGAATGCATGTTCTTAAAATGAAATAGTAGGGCTTGAGCCTTCCTCCTAGGAGCAATTGGAGCATCTCTCTCACGGTAACATTCTTGGTGTGTAGATCAGCCCGTGGCCAGTTTGAGAGTCACCTGGGAAAGGAGGGGTGGATGCCATGTTGCAAGGACTTTTGGTCAGATGTGTGTGGTGTGAATGTAATCTCACCTTATCGAGCATGCCTACTGTGCATGGCTCCTTACCTCATGTTACGAGAACCATATGGCATGCACGTGCCTTGGCTGGGCCTGTGCCCTGTGGGAGTGGGTTGGGCTGCCGTGGCAATGGGTGTGTGGGAGCAGGTGTATGGCTGGGCTGCCGATGGGTGGTGGTTTCTCGGTTGAGGAAAGGGAAAAGAGCAGGCTTGCATGAGGCAGTGGAATCTGACTTCAGGTTCAAGTTGGACGTGGTGCTTGCAGGATCTCCAGGTAGGGAGTCTGACAAAGCTATTGGAATGTCACAAGCTTGGAGAGTCTGTAAGCCTGGTAGCTACTCGATGTGCTAGGCCCAAAGCCAGACAGAGGAACTGGGGAGTGGGGTTCCAGCGTGTCTTTCTGTAGTTACCGGAATGGGCTTCCTCAGAGGGACTCGTAACTTCTAACTAACATGATCACTGCAGCACTGGTAGGTACTCAGAGCTTCTGAGCACAGAGGGAAGTGATGCCAGCTGTAGCATGTGTCAGAGAGCTGGCTCCACATCAGGACCTTACTGGAATGTCTCTTTGGATCCTGAGTGGCTGCTGTGTTCTGGAGTTTTCATGAGTACTGTCTGAGGCTCTGATGTGTGCTTGACCGACAGCACTGTGAAGATGAAATTATTGTAATAGCATGAAGTTCTTGGGTCTGTGTAACCCATTCAGTCTCCAGGGCCAAGTGCAGCTGTCTCAGGAACTAGTGTCCACAGGCTTATCAGGCCTGTGTCTGCACATGGGGTCTTCAGCATGTCCAGCCAGCCAGCCGTTGGTGTCACCTCAGTAGGGGGCACCTCATAGTAGGACCAGTTTTATCAACATGTACTAGTCAACCTCAGATATGCAGCCAGCGCTCCCCAGGTGAAAGACCGCACGTCTCACTTGCTGTGTCTGTCCTCCGGCACTGTCTTCCCCGAATCCAGCTACCCTGGGGGAGGCAGGAAGTATGTACGTGGGTGTCCTGTGTGCCAGGACATACGATGCAGAAGGTTGATTGCCGTGTCTTTCTTGTCACAGGTTCTGTCCCCGATGTGTGCAGGAAAAGAGGAAGAAGAAGTAACGAAGAGGTTGTTGTGCCAGGCTGAAGAGCAAGCTAATATATTTCTTCACTCATGTTGCAATATTATCTTTCATTTAAAAACTACCTTATTTCAACTGATATTTAATAATTCAGTGGCCAATTGTAGTTTTGGATATTTCCCAAAATAAGAAGCCACTGCACCATTTGCACAGAACAATCTCGCAGGGACTTGCCACAGTGACTTCCCGTGCAGGCTCCCCACTCCTGCGGCCTCCCAGCACTGGGATGGCAGCACCCCTTGTGCCGAGGGTCCCTTGGGGCTGTAGGCAAAGTGCATGGTGCAGGCTGGACATGTTTTTCACCTGGTCTACTGCCACTGCTCTGTCACTAGAGGGTCGGCCTTGCGTGTCCGTGTCATCCAGGACCGGCTTGTGGCACCATGGAAGCTGCTGTTCTGTGAGCCAGGTCTTCCCAGACGCTGGCCAATGCTGTGCTCTTACCCTGGCTGAAGACCAGGGACTCCTGGCCAACATACCTCTGATGTGTCTGGAAGGGACTGGGGGCTCTTCCCAGGTAGAAGTGCCCTCTGTTTCGTTGTGCACCGCCTTTCCATGTGAACTTCCAGCTCGCCCTGGAGATTCAGCTTCCATTAGCCTCGAACTGTCAGTTATCCGACCAGCACTGCCCAACAGCGGACAGAACAGTCAGGCTGAGCTTCCACCTCTCTGGGAATTCCTAACTTTTTTTTTTACTGTGAAGATGAAATTATTGTAATAGCATGAAGGTCTTGGGTCTGTGTGTCTATGAAGTGAGTCTGTACTGTGAGCTGATGTTAGAACTTTGCTGTGTTGCATCCCACTGGACCACCGGCTTATATTCAAGGGGCTACAATTATGTGACATGATTTGTGAATTTGTGTGCCCAGTAGCGGTTCTGGAATGAAGGTAGGAAACTAGAGTATACTCTTCGTCTAACCAGTGTCCACGAAACCAGTGTTGAATTTGGAAATATTTGGGCGGGGGTGGGGGGATGTATGCACAGGGCCTGTTGAGATGCATCTGTGGTGGTTCCTTAAGTGTGACAGGATCCTGAGAGTTTCCTATGACTTAGAATTCCTCTGGCATGTTTTTTAGTGTCTCCGGCTCTCTGAAAACCAAAGAGAGCCTGTCCCTGGCCTCACTCGAGAGAAAGACCCGCAAGGCAGAGCTGGGCTATGCGATTTCCAATTTAAGGAGAGACCAGTTGTTTATCTGACGACAGGCATATTGTTTTAAGATGGCCATGTCTAAATCGATAGATACAGTTCCCTCCCACTTTATCCAAGGAAAGGACACAAGGCAAGAGGGAGTTGTATCTGCCCCACATTATGCCATCATGGTCCTGTTCTTACTGGTCAGGGTGTCCTGCACAGCCTATCCCAGTGAGAGGGAGACAGGAATGGCTTGTGTTTATGCTACTGAGTTAGTTGGTCCATGTTGACTCTTCCTGGGCAGCAGGTGCCAGGCAGTTGTCCAAGCTTGTCTCTAGGCTAGGAGGAGCTTTGGAAATGCAGTTCCTGTGGCCTCTAGGCTTGAGGGGCTGGCTTTCTTCCTGGGGACCCCTTCTCAGGCTCAAATTAGATATTTTCATTTTTTTTTGTTGTTGGATTTTTGTTGTTGTTGGTTGGTTGGGGTTTGTTTGTTTGGTTGGTTGGTTGTTTGGTTGGTTGGTTGGTTTGGTTTTTGGTTTTTCGAGACAGGATTTCACTTTTTAGCCCTGGCTGTCCTGGAACTAGTTTTGTAGACCAGGCTAGCCTCGAGCTACAGATTTACCTGCCTCTGCCTCCCAAGTGCTGGGATTAAAGGCATGCGCCACCACTGCCGGCTAGACATTTTCATTTCTTAATTTAGCCTTTCTTTTGTCGTAGTAAACGTTGTGAGGATACGTTATACAATTTTTTCCCCTCTTTTCCCTTTTATTTTAAAGACCAGGTCTTATGTATCCTGGGCTGGCTTTGAACTCACAATGTAGCCGAGGATAACTTTGATCTTCCTTCCTCCACCTCCCAAATGCTAAAGTTACAGGTGTACACCAAGAGGTATGGTTTTACAATGTTAGGGACCAAACCCAGAACTTTTTTTTGTTTTTGTTTTTGTTTTTTGAGACAGGGTTTCTCTTTGTAGTTCTGGCTGTCCTGGAACTCAGAGATCTGCCTTCCTCTGCCTACCAAATGCTGGGACTAAAGGTGTGTGCCACACAGTCTGATAAGGCGTACACTATTATCTGGCTGCAACCCAGAACCTTATGCACGCTAGGCAAGCATTCTACAGATTGAGTTATATCCCCCTCTCTTTTTCTTCATTCTTTAGTCTTTCTTATTTTTTTCTTTCTTTAGTCCTAGGGGTCAGGCCTCATGCATCCTTTAATTTTATTTAATTTATTTATTTATTTGGAGGCCAGTCTTTGAACTAGCATCATCCTGCCTTAGCCATGAAATGTTGGAATTATAGGTGTGTGCCACCTGTAATGTCTTTACCTCTTATAATCTCTGTAAGCACAAGAAGTTTTAAATCAGATCTTGCCTGATAATGCATTAGAAACTGATTTAATACCTGAGATTCAGCCTAAGGCAGAGGAGGTTTCCTGGTGGACCTGCTAGAGGCTGGTTAAACTCCATCTTTGGGGCCATCCTGCATACTGGCTTCTAACATTTATTTATTTTGCAGATTTCTATAGTTATCTGCTTTTTTTTTTCTTTTTACTTTTGACAATTACAGTAATGTCACCAAAATAAGATTCGTATAGTTTGGAAACAACAGAATTCATGGACTTGGGAATTTAACTTAGTGGTGGAATCACTTGCCTACCAGTGTGGCATTGGTTGTGTGGTGGTGAGCAAACCTGCCTTCCAGAAGTGATGGCCTAGGTTTGATCCTTGGCAACGAAACAGGAAAAAGCAGGAAGGAAGGTCTTTTGGGTCATAGTTGGGCTCTGATGGAGTGCTTGTCCCATTGTTAGTATCTGTGAGCAGGGAGGCTATTCAAGGAAAAGTGTACTGTCAGCTCCTGCTTGGGTGCTGCAGAAACACAGAAGCCACGGTGCTGTGCCACTGAGCACCGTTCTAGGAGCCCTGTCTGTCTCCATCATTGGACCAGATACTCTTCCATGCCTGCCCATTGAGACCTGGTGCTAGTCAGAGTGAGTAGGGTGACCCCCACAGGTCAGTGGCAGCCAAGACTGGGTCTTTGCTGTCTCATTCCCCTTCCTTGTAAGTATGTGAGTGTTTTGCTAAGAGGAGAGGAATCATCTTCCTCATTTTTTGTGCATATCATCAGTAGTTTAAATTTCTCCCGTTTCTTATAGAAGCATGATGAATTAATAGAGAACTGAGCCCCACAATCTGTGAATATGCTAGCAGTGTGATGGTCCAAGCAGTGCTGACCACTCGCCTGTCCAGCAGGTGACGTCAGCAGGAGTCAGGCCATCGACTGTGTCTTCCACTCTGCCGTGAAGAGCCGAAGAGCCGTGCGGTGGGAGGGCTTGTGGATGGCTGGGGAAGTGGCCGCCTGCTTGCTCCTGTGGATACAGCATCTTGCCTTTTATCCCTCACCTGCCTCCAGAAGGCCTTGGCAGGGCTGCTTCAAGCAATAACACTGTTCGGAGAGCAACTCCTCCACGTGATATGGTGCCAGGGTTGGCCCTGTTAGGAGGCTGGGAGGTCAGGTCTTCAGGGTGTGAAATCAAACAGTGAGGGACATTTATTTCAGGCTTTGAACCCTGTTTTCTGTGAGCAGAGATTGGTCTTCACTGCCTGTGCCGAGAGGAGCTCTAAAGCAGGGGAGGTCTAAGAAGTGTCTTTTCCCTCAGAGTGTGCTGTGGTGGACCTTCTTCACCACACTCCATCCATCGGATGATGTAGCTTTAACATGAATGTCACATTTTATTTTCAAGGAATTATTACCTTTGTCCCCTTTGTAAAGGAGAGATATTATTGTAAATCTTTTTATTAAATAATGTAAAGATGTATATCTGTATTTTTGGATCATGGATTATGGATATATTGTTTAATAAATAAAGTATTTTTGGGAAGAAACTTGTAAATAGGTCATTTTGAAAACAGGTCGGGGAATCTGTCTCAGCAGTAGGACACTTGTCTGACGTGTGCTGTGCCTCTTCTGGGCCAGGAACCTAACATGCGTGCGCGCACACACAAACACACCACACAGTTGATATCTGCCGGGGGTTTGCTCTTGGGTTGTAGGCAGCTGCCTCTCGTGCACTCACATGGCAAGGTGAGTGGGGCTAGGTAGGAAGGGAATTCTCTACTGTGTCTTCTAAATTCTTATTTTCGAGACAGGGTTTCTCTGTCTTGGAACTATCTCTGTAGACCAGGCTCAAATTCAGAGATCCACCTGCCTCTACCTCTCAAATGCTGGGATTAATTGTTAGCATATAGGTGTGAGCTGCCACTACCAGGTACGGTGGCACATACCCATAATCCCAGCACATGAGAGGTCAGGCAGGCTGATCTCTTAGCTTGAGGTAGCCTGATCTATATAGCTTGTTCCAGACCAGCCTGGCCTACATAGGCATACAGAACTTTTAAGCATGCTAGGCAAGTACTCTATCAAACAGCTACATCGCCAGTCCGCATGTGTTTATAGCAAGTTCTGCGGATTCCAACCATAAGTCCCTACTTAGCCTTTATTACACACAGGTAGGCCCTGTCCCCAGTCACATTAGGGGTCAGGGCTTCCACACATGAATCTGGGCATACACAGATTACTGAGTTGTCTTAGACATTCCCTTGGACAGTGCTGAATTTCCAGACACCGGTTAGCATGAGGCCCAGCCTTTCACCCATCACGGGAAACTTTGTCAGAGGCTGTGGTTTTGTGGCAACATGTTGTATTCTCCATGTATATCCAGGGTATCAGCAGTCACTTCCCAGGGTGGCTGTTAGGATTAAAGGAAAGTCCAGTTCTTGGGGTGGTGGAATAGGCAAGTGACTGACTGCCAGCTTATTTTTTTTGTTTTCTTGCAGATTTATTTATTTTGTTTTTTGAGATGGTTTCTCTGTGTAGCCTTGGCTGTCCTGGAATTTGATCTATAGACCCAGGCTGGCCTAGAATTCACATAGATCCACCTGCCTCTGTCCCCTGAGTGGTGGGATTAAAGGTTTGATCCTCCACTGCTGGCATGACTGACTGTTGATCTTTTAGTTTGTCTGTTCTTTGTTTTTTTCAGGTAGAGTTTCCCTGCGAAGCTCTGGCTATCCTGGAACTCACTATGTGGTGTCCAGGCTGGCCTTGAACTCAGAGATCCACCTGCCTCTGCCTCCTGAGTTCTGGGATTAAATGTGGGTGCCACCACCACCTGACATTTTTTAAAGATTTATGTTTATTTTACATGTATGAGTGTATGTCTACATGTATGTCTATGCACCATGTGTGTGTGCCTGGTCCCCGAAATGGCCAGAAGAAGTCATCAGATATTCTGAGACTGGAGTCGCAGATGCTGGTGAGCTGCCATGTGCGTGTTGGGAATTGAACCCCAGTCTTCTGGAAGAACAACCAGTGCCCATAATCGCTGAGCCATCTCTTCAGTTAAAACTGCTGATCTTAACTGGCTCTGAACTGTTACCAGTTCCAGGGGGCCAAGATGCTATTGGCCTACCAGGTAATGAGGGCTGTGGTGATCAGGTGCTATGAGTGTTCACAGAAAAGGACCAAACCACCCTCTGGGCATCTTTCTAGTTCCTGACTGTAACTGACTGTCTAAGTTAGGGTTACTACTGCTGTGATGAAACACCATGAACAAAAGCAACATGAGGAAGAAAGGGTTTATTTCACCCACAGTTCAATATAGACAGTTCATCTCCAGAAACAGTGAGGGCAAGAACTCACACAGGGCAGGAGGCTGGAGGCAAGAGCTGATGCAGAGGTCATAGAGAGATACTGCTAACTGGCTTGCTCAACCTGCTTTTTTCATTTTTTCTTGCTTTTTTTTTTATTTGTTCGTTCGTTTGTTTGTTTTTTCCAAGACAGGGTTTCCTCTATGTAATAGCTTTGGCTGTTCCAGAACTCACTTTGTAGACCAGGCTGGCCTTGAGCTCACAGAGATCCACCTTCCTCTGCCTCCCAAGTACTGGGATTAAAGGCGTACATATGCCTGGCTCATCAGCCTGCTTTCTTGTAGAACCCAGGACCACTAGGTTAGGGTGGCACCACCCACAAAGGACTGTGTCCTCCTCCATCAATCACTACCTAAGAAAATGCCCTCCAGGGCGATTTTATGGGGCATTTTCTCAACTGGAGTTCCCTCCTTTCGAGCTTGTGTCAAGCTGACATAGAACTATCCAGCCCACTGACATTCTCTATGCCAGTTACCCTCAGTGGCCTATGGAGTGAGGACCAACTTAGTATGAAGGGGCTAGCAGAAGCCTCCGGAATGTCCTAACCAGTACAGGAATCCTGATGCAGTTGTGACTTGGACCTGGACAATGCCAGGATGATGCACTGACCGTGTTCCAGTGCCCCTGTCTGACAAACCCGGGAGAGTGGACAGACAGACATCAGGGAACTGGCCTACTGAAGGCACAGCTTGCATCCTCCCCCTCCCAGCACACAGCATATAGCTACTGACCCCTAAGTGCTGCCTTCTCTTACCCAGTTTGCAAGGACTATCTGGATGCCTTGGCTTTTTCTCAGCGAAGCAACGCTATACTTGTAGTCTTGCCTCCGGAGCCTTCTGCTCTTCCTGGGACAGAGATCTAAAGTAGCTGGTGCAGAACCCTAAATTATCTTAACATCTTACAGAATGTGTTTCCTGGGCTTGTCCCGTGATGGTAAATGGAAGTGCGTAAGCTGGAAGAAGTAACAGCTCCTGGAGGTGCCCCAGGAAAACCGCAGTACCAGGTACTGCCGGACCCAGGAGGCCAGGAATTCTCTGTAGAGCTGGACTGGCCTCTGTGGTACCCGTAGGTCGTCCCAGCCCTGGACCTTGCTCAGTGAAGTGTTACTTTGAGGGCTGGGCTTTCGAAGTAGTGCCTATTGATGAACCTGTGATCTCAGGTGAGACGGAAGCTCGGGGAAGAGAGGAAGAGGGTAGAGATTTATAGGGGCGGTAGAGGTCCCTAGGGAAACAAAAACCCCTGGGGAAGAGAAGAGTTTCCAAGGGTGACAGGGTTCCTGGGGAAGGAGCCACAGTGAGATGAAGGAGCGGGCACTTAGCTTTTGGGGCTAGTCGTGTGGACCATGATGGGACCAGTTGGAAAAAGCGCTCGAAATAGGGAGTGCTGGGACATCTGCTGCGTGGAGTCAGATTCTGATCCAAGCAGAACACCCTCCTCTTTGGGACCTGGGGGGTCTCAGGTCGGGTCAGGAGAGCTCACTGGGAAGGACTCGGAGGATTAAGTCTGGGCCTAAGGGCGGGGTTGGGAAGGGAGGGCCGACACATGCGCAGTCGCTTGCTTCATCCCGACTGGTCTAGGTCTAAGGTGGTGCAAGGGTGGGAACCTGGGTGCGTCTGCGGATTCAGTTTTTGCACTCGGACGGACGCTAGGGTGCGTAGTGGGCCGGCTGCAGTTCCGGGGTGGTGGGCGCTGGTGTCTGGGTCTGTGCCACCGGGGCTGTGGCCTGTCAAGTGATTGCACAGGTCGGGAGCGAGCCGGGACTGCCGGCGGCGTGAGCCTATTTACAGCGTTTCCACCCGCAATGCTCCCAGGCCGTGCTGGCTAGGATTGCAAATAGCTTGTCCTCCCTGACGTCACAGCACATGACGCATGCGCATGCATCGCGCATGCTGTGTTGTGGTTTTCCGTCTCAGGTAAGGCGGAAGTAGCGGCCAAGTAGAGGTTTCAGTTGGAAGGTGGCGTCTTCTGGATAAGCCTCCTGTGTTAGTTGCCTTACCCGGGCCAGTATACACTGTCGCAGTTCCCTTCCCTTCGAGACATTTTTGTTGATTACCCAGGCCTTTTAAAACTTGTGACAAAGTATACGTAAAATGTAAAATTTACCTTTCAACTGCTTGGGTGCACAATTCCCGTGATGCCTTTCTTTTGGGGCTTTAAAACCTAGTTTTGTAGCCGGGCGGTGGTGGCGCATGCCTTTAATCCCAGCACTTGGGAGGTAGAGGCAGGCGGATCTCTGTGAGTTCGAGACCAGCCTGTTCTACAAGAGCTAGTTCCAGGACAGGCTCCAAAACCACAGAGAAACCCTGTCTCGAAAAACCAAAAAAAAAAAAAAAAAAAAACAAAAAACAAAAAAAAAAAAAACCTAGTTTTGTTTTGAAGGGGAAGGGTCTGGAAAAGCTGTTGCTGTTTGCAAAAGATAAAATATAATGCCCAGGAGTGAACGCACCACCACCAAGTATACACGAGTGAATTTACAGGGCTGATATGCTGGGTGGAACATTCAGAACCGAACCCTTCCAAGCATCTTATCCTCTATGTCCTGCAGCCTGAATCCCCTTCCTCTGTCCTTCTAGTGCCAAGCCATCCTGTTCCTCTAGGCGAGTGGCTCTCAACCTTCCTAATGTGACCCTTTAATACAGTTCCTCATGTCTGGCAACCATAAACTGTTGCTTCATCCCGACTGGTCTAGGTCTAAGGTGGTGCAAGGGTGGGAACCTGGGTGCGTCTGCGGATTCAGTTTTTGCACTCGGACGGACGCTAGGGTGCGTAGTGGGCCGGCTGCAGTTCGGGGGTGGTGGGCTTGCACCACCTTAGACCTAGACCAGTCGGGATGTTGCTGTTTCATAACTGTAATTTTGCTAGTGTTATGAACTATAATTTAAATACTGATATGCAGGATATCTGATAGGCGACTCCGCGACCCCAAAGGGGTGGTGACCAGCATGTTGAGAACCGCTGCTCTAGGCAATGTGTATGTGAGTTCATATATGGTACAGAGGCCATTGTGGGATCATTACTTTATTGCTCGTGAGTTGAAAGTTCAATCTTTATCTATCTATCTATCTATCTATCTATCTATCTATCGGCAGGAGCAATGGTGTTCCATTTGGTGCCCAGATGTTCTGCAAGGCTCTTCTGGGCGTCATCAGGATGGAGGAGGACCTACATTCAGGGAGCCTCAGTGGGGCTGAAGTATCTGGGTTGCCCTCGGGATACGTACAGCCCCTTGGCTTGCAGAGGGTACTCCTCCGTCTCCGGCAGCCCTGAGGTGATGCTGACCCCTGAGCGATACCCAGTGCAACGGCTGCCATTTTCCACTGTGTCTGAGGAGGACCTGGCTGCCTTTGAACGCATCATACCTGGCAGAGTGATCACAGACCCTGAGCAGCTGGAGGCATGCAATGTGGACTGGCTGAGGAGTGTCCGGGGTGAGTCAGGACCTGGGCAGTGGAGTAAGAGAACGAAGCGCAAAGACCAGGTGAGGGGAGTAGAGGTCACTGTGAACACACCTTGGATGCCTTGGAAGACACCGCTGAGGTCTTCAGGGAGTAAAACCGGCAGATTGAAAAGCGGAGGTCCTTGGCTGAAGCAAGGGCTGTGATACCACTGCCTGCATCTGTACAGCTTCTTAGGCAATTTTCACCCAAGGCACCCACCCCTCTCAGCTCTGGAAGCTCAGAGTCCTTCTGGTGACTCCAGGTATTCCTGGTAGCACCCTCCAGCTTCGGCTTTATGTGGCCTCAATCCTTGTTCCTCTTCTTCTTCTTCTTCTTTTTTTTTTTTTAATTTATTAGCTGGGAGGTGGTGGCACAACCCTTTAATCTTAGCACAGAGGCAGAGGCAGGTGGATCTTAGAGTTCGAGGCCAGCCTGGTTGACAAAGTGAGTTCCGGTACAGCCAGGGCTACACAGAGAAACACTGTCTTGAAAACAAAACACAAAACAAACAAGCAAACAAAAAGAAAAGATTTATTGTGTGTATGTGTTTGTGTGTGTGCGCGCACACGCGCTCGAGTACGTGGGAGAACAGTAAGTGACTTAGGAAGCCAGATGTTGGACATCCTAGAGTTAAGAGTTCCCAGCAGTTGTCAGTTGCCTGATGTGGGCTCTCTGCAAAGGCTGCAAGTGCTCTTAATCACTGAGCCATCTCTCCAGGTATCCTCTTCTGTCTCAGAGAAACCTTGTCAGTGTATTTAGGGCCCACTTAGTCCAGAATGATCTTAACTTGAGAAGTTTAAAACAACAAACAAATTTTGTGTGTGTGTGTGAGAGTGTGGGTTTGTGCTCGTGAATGCAGTACACGTGGAAGCCAGAAGGAGGCATCAGAGCTCCTGGAGCTGGAGTTAGAGGCAGTTGTGAGCGGCCAAGTGTGGGTTCTGGGAGTCAAGCTCTAGTCCTCTATTCTGCTCTTGATTACTCAGCCGTCTCCAGCACTCAGCCTTAGATCTTCATTAGCCTGTCAAGAGCCTATTCCACATTGGACTGGAGAGATGGCTCAGCGAGTAAGAGCCCTGGCTGCTCTTGAGAGGACCGGGGTTCAATCCTTAGTACCCTACATGACAGTTCACAATTGTCTAACTCTGGTTCCAGAGGATCTGACTCCTTCACACAGATATATATGCAGGCAAAACACCAACACACATGAAATAAAAATAAATAAATTTTAAAAATTTAAAAATATGAGCTTGTTTCTATATCAAGCCATTCCCATAGGTTCCAGGGTTAAGATTCCAGCTTTGTGGAGATCCAGGTATCTCTAGAGAGTGGGATGCATGACTGGCGCTCTGGGTGTTACATAATTGCTGCTCTCAGCCTCCTCCTCCTGCTGCACCTGTTTCTGTTGCTCAGTAGCCCAGGCCCAGTGGTTACTATGTCTCATTTTCTCTTCTGAAGTGATTTCATCCAACTTGAAAACACAGCATGATGTTCTTGCTATAAGGAGAAGTACTTGGCGACTACATAGCATTTGACAGGAAATGAGGATACTTGAGTGCCAGGCAGGATGGCCCAATACTTCATGGATGTTCTCTTGTTATCAGGAAAGACCTGATAAAAACTGAGCCATCACAGGTTCCAGAGGAACTTGAAAGGATTGTCTCTAGGTCTGTGTATGAGATACAGAGGAACAACAGCATGGCTGTGTAGACAGTGGAACCCTGGATCTCTGTGTACTGGCTAGAAAGGGGCCCAGGAAAGCCTCTGGGGAAACGGAGTTTGGGTTTGTACAGATAGATGCGGCCCATTGGCCAATCTGGAGTCCAGCATTGGGGTCACTGGGACCCAAGGCCATTAGTGGATAAGAGGAACCAGCTAAGGAGACTGGGAAAGCAAGGCCAAGGGACAGCAGGGAGCCTAAGGAATATGGTACAGAATCAGTGGAGAAAGGCTTGGTAAGGGGCACAGATTACCACGTGTGATAACAGATTAGGGAAGGTGATTGAGATAGTGACCTTGACTCAGAGCTATGGGCTTGGTCCTTGGAGAAAGACAAAAATAGCCAGAGCCTATTCCAGACTGGACAAGGGAGGTGATTCTCTTGGGTGTTTCCTGGAAGTGTAAACTGTCATGCAGGGATAGGGGAAGTGAGGGCATTTTATAGGATCCCAGGCCAGAGGAGGTTTGTTTTCAGTTTTTTTGTTTTAAGATGAGAGCATTTTAGCTGGTTTACAGAGCCGATGGGGGAGGATGCGGGAAAGATGGGTAGAAGGGGAGGAAGGGAAAGGCAGTGAGCCCCAGGAAACGGGAGTGGTGGACCGTAAGTAAGCGAGCTGCACAGGTGTGGGGCTCCAGGTAGGAAGCAGATCGCCTGCAGTAGCCAGAGGAAGCGTCGTTGCTCGTGGGTGTAGAGGCAAGGTGAATAGAAGTTTGGAGGGGCGTCAGCAGTCATGGACGAGCATAAGCTAGGACACGATTGTGTTTCGTGTTTCCTGTTTGTAAAAATAGGCAGCGAGTCAGATTTGTCCCCAATATGCGTGGTTACTGAAGTCCCAATGAGTTCATCAGGAAGAAAGGCTAGGGAGCCACAGGGGCGTTGGGCAGCCAGGCCTGAGATGGGTGACTGGTGACACAGAATGTTCCTTTGGTGGTGTCCTGGCTAGGGTAACTGCAGTGATGGAACACCATGACTAAAGAAAGCAACCTGGGGAAGAGAGGGTTTGTTTGGCTCACACTTCCGCATCACTATTCATCATCGAAGGAAGTCAGGGCAGGAACCTGGTGGCAGGAGCTGATGCAGAGGCCATGGAGGGGCGCTGCTTACTGACTTGCTCCCGTGGCTTTCTCAGCCTGCTTTCTTATAGAACCCAGGGCCACCAGCCCAGGGATGGCACCACCCACTGTGGGCTGGGCCCTCCCCCATCAATTGATAATTAAGAAAATGCCCTCCAGCTAGATCTGGTGGAGGCATCTTCTCAATTGAGTTTCCCTCCTCAGATGGCTCTAGCTTGTGTCAAGTTGACATAAAACTAGCCACTAGCCAGGACAGATAGATTATCAGGGAGAGGTACCTGCAGGAGAGATGAGGGCAAAGACGATACCTGCACACTTTTTTTTTTTTCTTTTGAGACAAATGTTTCTCCGTGTAGCCCTGGCTGACCTGAATTCACTCTGGAGACCAGGCTGGCCTTGAACTCAGAGATTCGCCTGCCTCTGCCTTCCCACGTGCTGGGATTAAAGGTGGGTGTCACCTTCAAGGAAGGATTGTGACTGAGCCTCTTCCCTCCTCGTGGGCTGACAAGTCTATTCTCTTGTCACAGGCTGTAGTAAAGTGTTGCTGAGGCCCCAGACCACCGAGGAAGTGTCCCAGATTCTTAGGTAAGAGGAAATCTCCTGTTTTCTTAAGTGAGGAGGTGTCTGCCGTCAGTGCTTTCCGATACCAAGGGCCACAGTCACACCTGCCCAATAGGAGATCCCTGTGGTTTGCTGTCCTTGGGGTTCACTGCGGGCTCACAGGCAAGGGCATCCCTTTCTCCAGATCCCTATCTGCAAGAGTCCTAGCTGGAGGATGCTTCCCAAGCACAGCCCGAGGGCTGGTGGTCCAGGCTCAGAACTCAGCCTATAACAGTGGGATTAGAGGGGGGTGAGGGTGGTGGAGGTAACGATGGTGTCACTGCTGACTCTTAAAAACAATGAGAAGCCGGGCGGTGGTGGCGCACGCCTTTAATCCCAGCACTCGGGAGGCAGAGGCAGGCGGATCTCTGTGAGTTCGAGACCAGCCTGGTCTACAAGAGCTAGTTCCAGGACAGGCTCCAAAACCACAGAGAAACCCTGTCTCGAAAAAACCAAAAAAAAAAAAAAAAAAAAAACCCAACCAAACAAAAAACCAAAAAAACAATGAGAGAGCTCTGAAGGTATTAGAATTAGGCCACATAGGCCTCTTCCCCATGCCCCAGGGACCATGGCAGCCTCCCTTCCTCTGTGTATAGTTTTGTGGGAGGAGAGTGGGGGACTCTCCCTTGAATTCTTCACAGGGTGTTGGGGAAGAACCTCTGTAGCAGGAAGGCCTAGAAAGGAGATGAGGTTTCGGAGACAGGTGTCAGCTTGGGAGCCTGTCCTTTGGCGATAGGGTGGTTGTCTGGGCTTTGGGATGCTGGCTTGATATCTATTCTATGTTTGTCCCAGCCATTGCCATAAGAGAAACTTGGCTGTGAACCCCCAAGGGGGAAACACTGGCATGGTGGGGGGCAGTGTCCCCGTCTTTGATGAAATCATCCTGTCCACTGCCCTCATGAACCAAGTCATCAGCTTTCATGATATATCCGGTAAGCTTGTGTTCTGTGTGCTCGGAACTCCCCTGTCCTTCGTCCTTAGCCTGGGACTGTGCTTAAGCTAGCAAATGTGTTCGTGGGGGGTGGTGTGGGGACATCCTGACTAGGCTAGAGCTGGCAGCTGCATAGATGCATCAGGGCCATCTTCTCTGTGCTGTAAGTCACTAGGTGGCTCACACTGTGGACATGCCATACAAGTCTCGTTTGTATCCAGAGTTTGCCACGGCAGCTTGTCCTGGACATACTTGCTACACAGTGATTCCTGTGAAGGGGTTTCATAGCCTTCTCCCAGACCGAGGCTGGGTTGCTGTACAGGGGACTGTTGTTTGCAATCAGCAACAGCTTTCATTCACCAAAACAGATCTAAACATTGTAACCTGGGACCCAGGTGCTCCCCAAGCTGAGGTCACCACTTTGTAACAACCCTTTCTTCTACTCCCTCCCCTTAGACAAGCACTTTTCTCCATTTTTGCCATTCTAATTTTTCTTGGCTTATATTGTAATTACAAAGGACCAAGTGATGTTTTTCCTCTGTAGTAGGAAGTCTTTCTTCTTGCTTGGCCTTGGAGGAGAACACTCTGTGGGGGTTCTTACTACAGAGGAGTTTGGGGTTTCTCACCAGCGAGCATTCTCAAACCCCTGGTAACCCAGAAGTTGTTGGTAACTCAGTTGCTCTTTGTAGGAATTCTGGTCTGCCAGGCAGGCTGTGTGCTGGAGGAGCTGAGTCAGTATTTGCAGGAGCGGGACTTCATCATGCCCCTGGACTTGGGAGCCAAGGGCAGCTGCCACATTGGGGGTAATGTGGCAACCAACGCTGGCGGTCTGCGCTTTCTGCGTTATGGCTCACTTCGAGGGACTGTCCTGGGCCTGGAAGTGGTGAGCTGGGTTCTAGAAGGGTGCATAGCCTGTCCTGGGGGTGTCTTACCTTCAGTCTGAGGGTGTTGGCTTGGCAGTGGTGCAGGACGTGGGGCTATATTGGTGTGTGTGTATCCATTTCCAGATTAGGGACCCTACTGTAATGGTTCCTGGCTCTGGGCACCTCAGGGACACCAGGGGTCACTTCATTCAGGCAGCAACACTCTACTTGTACCAGACTTTCAGGGATTGGAGAAAGAGGAAGGTTAGCTAAGGCCACCTTGATATGGAGTCACAGTCCTGCCAGTTTCCCTCCTGGACTCTCTTCCCCTTCCCTGAACCCTTGCTGTATTAATTACTTTTCCCACTGCTGCCATAAGGTAATTGACAAGTGACATAAGGGAGGAGGGGTTTATTTTGACTTAGTTTGAGAGGATACAGACCATTGTGGCTGGGAAAGGATGCTGGCCGGAAGGTGAGCGAGCTGGTTACATTGTATGGTTACATTGTATCCGGAAGCACAAAAAGATAAATTCTGGTGCTCAAGCGCGAGCCATTTTAACCAAGCTGGGGGTTGTTGCTGCTGCCTACATTCAAGGTGGGTTTCCCGGGCCGGTGGTGATGGCCCATGCCTTTAATCCCAGCACTTGGGAGGCAGAGGCAGGCGGATCTCTGGGAGTTCGAGACCAGCCTGGTCTACAAGAGCTAGTTCCAGGACAGGCTCCAAAACCACAGAGAAACCCTGTCTCAAAAAACCAGAGGGGGCGGGGGGGAAGAAAGAATCAAGGTGGGTTTTCCTACTTCAGTTAAATATTTCTGGAAACACCGACACAGACCCCACAGGCCCAGGGCTTCCATGGTAATTTAAATTTAAAATCAATTCTCTCTCTCTCCCCCCCACCCGAATATATATATATATATATATATATATATATGTGTGTGTGTGTGTGTGTGTGTGTGAGAGAGAGAGAGAGAGAGAGAGAGAGAAACCTTAAGTGTCTCCTATCACTCTTTACCTTGTTTTCTGAGATAGTCTTTTATTGAACCTGTAACTCACCAACTGGCTATACCAGTTGGCCAGTGATCCTCCTATCTCTGCCTCCCAGGGCTGGGATTATAACACAGATTGCCATGTACATCCATCTCACTTATTTTTATATATACTTATTGAGTCAGAGTTTCACTGTGTCAGTCTGGCTGACCTGGAACTCTCTGTGTTGACTGACCTCAAAGTCGCAGAGATCCACCTGCTTCATCCTCCTGAGTGCTGGGATTAAAGACATGTGCTACCATGTCTGACTCTCCATATTTGGTGCATGTGTGCATGTGTGTGTATACCATGGCACATATGTAGAGGCCAGAGGACAGCTTGTAGAAGCTGGTTCTCTATTTCTGCTCTGTAGATTATGGGGATCGACCTGGGTTGTCAGGCTTAGTGGCAGCTGCCCCTACCCCTGAGCCTTCTCTCAGGCTCTAGATCCAGCTGTTTACATGGGTGCTGGACTTTGGAACTCAAGTCATGCAGCATGTTTTACCCACTGAACGACCTCCGCAGCTCCTGATTTTCTATTGGTTAAGTTGACAGTGAAGACTAACTTACTTATCCCGTCTCCTTGTGGTTTTTTTTTTTTTTTTTTTTTTTTTTTTTTTTTTTTTTTTTTTTGTTTTTTGAAACAGGGTTTCTCTGTGATTTTGGAGCCTGTCCTGGAACTAGCTCTTGTAGATCAGGCTGGTCTCGAACTCACAGAGATCCGCCTGCCTCTGCCTCCCGATCCTTGTGGGTTTTAAGGGCAGAGCATGTTTTTCTTAGACAGAAAACCATTCTTCTCCAGTAAGTCACAGTGTCCCAGTGGCTTAGCTTTCTGGTTGGTTTTCAGCTACCACTACTATTTTTTCTGTACTCACTGTACTGAAAATCCAGTTAGCTACTGACTTGATATACTAGCCAACAGGTCTCAGGTTAGAATTGTCATATGGGAATGAGCAATGCCTTTATGCCCTAGGGTCTCGGATGTGGGGGGACCCTCAAGGCAGGGCTGTTCCCCTGTGTATCTCCAGCTGTGCTCCTCGGTCCCCTTTTATGGGCTCTTCCCTCTTTTGGTGTGTTCCCTGCCCCCCAAGCTGTGCATTTGTTCCTCCCAGCTCTAGAGGTTCCTTGCCTCTCCCAGATATGTTCCCTGCCCACCGAAGCCATGCTCCCGGCTTCTATGTTCCCTCATCTATGTTCCCTACCCTTCCTAGCTGTGTCCCTCACTTGCACGAGCTATGCTGCCCTCTCCCTCTAGCTGTGGTCTTTGCCCTCCACATGTGTGCCTCCGTGTGTTCTTTGTCTTGGGTGGGTTTCCCTCCACCAGCCAGACAATGAACTTAAGTTGCGGTTGGGAGAGTCTTGCTCTAGCTGGGGACAAACGTCATCCCTTTAGTCTGACTAATCCACTCCAGGTTCTGTTCATCCCCAGACTCCAACCTGAAGTAAATGGGGGTGGGATGGGTACAGTGGCAGAGGGTTTATGACTGACTGTTTTTCTGGGGTCGGGGGAGGTTGGAGTTGGGTCATCATCTCCAGAGAAGGTAAGGGTGGCTGATGTGGGAAGGCCTGTCTCTTTCCTCTTTGCCAGGTACTTGCTGATGGGACCATCCTGAACTGCCTGACCTCCCTGAGGAAGGATAACACAGGCTATGACCTGAAGCAGCTGTTCATTGGGTCAGAGGGCACCCTGGGAATCATCACAGCTGTGTCCATCTTGTGCCCACCCAGGCCCAAGGCTGTGAATGTGGCTTTCCTCGGTAGGTCCTCCTCAACCTGCTTCTGAGTCGGACATGTTGGTGCAAACTTGGAATGAGAGGAGCCCATTGCTCCTTGCCTCTCTGCTTCCTATCTGGAGATCTGGGTCCTGGTCCTCCAGGTGTCCAGAGTGTAGCCTGAAACAGAAGTGATAATCTGTTTCTTGTCAGACCACACTTTAGCACAATCGAGGCTCTTTTCTTCTTTGTCCCACTGTGCTTGGATTTCAGAAGTGTGTTCTGTGATTCTGAGAGAAACAGTGGCTTGGTGGTAATTGCTGTGGGGCAGTCGGTCTCTCTCTTCCTTGCTCTAGCTCACCGCAGTTGGCTGTAGCGTCTCTCCATACATAGGGTTCTCACAACATCGGACGTCCTTTTCTATGCAACTGATGTAACACCAGCTTCTGTCTGTGGCCTGCCTGTGGTTCGTGTTTTTCTCTTTCCTCCTTCTGTATTGTTATCCAGCTTCTGTCTGCAGCTGACCCATTCAGCTAAGCTGAGTGAGTTCTGGAGAGAAAGAGGCATGCTTGACTCACCAGATCCTACCAGAGGAGGCTGTCGGTCTTTCTTATGGTCTTTCCCAGTCATTTGTTCTTATTATGCCCTCTATCTATTATAGTCATGTGTGTGGGGTGCACATTTATGTGCATGCTAGTGCAGTTCAGAGGCCAACCTTTTTGTTTTTGAGACAAGATTTTTGTTGTCCTGGTAACCACTGATTAGACTAAGCAGGCTGACCAGTGAGCCCCAGAGATGTATCTGTCTTCGATTCCTCAGAGTAGGAATTCCAGGTGTTTGCCACCATACCTGCCTTTTCTTCTCTTTCCTTTTCCTGCTTCCTTCCTTTCTTTCTCTTTCTTTTTTTTTAAAACTTGTATGTTGTTTTACCGACATGTACGTTGTTATGCCTGCATGTATGTCTGTGCACCGTGTGTGTGCAGTGCCAATGGAGGCCAGAGGAAGGAGTCAGATTTCCTGGAACTGGGGTTACAGATGGTTGTAAGCTACCATGTAGGTGCTGGGAACCAAACCCAGGTCCTTTGGAAGAGCAGCCAGTGCTCTTGACCTCTGAGCCATCTCTCCAGCCCCATGCTGAGGATGAGACACAGGTCCTTTTGTTTGGACGACAGCCAGCACAGCACCAAAGACTGAGCTATTTCCCCAGCCCCCAGGTAGTTGATCTTTTTAAAGTCTCTGTCACAGCACTGCTTGTGGGCCATTTCTTTGACTCTTCGTCCGTCTGCTGCATCAGACATTTCTCAGTCTCTTGTTCTCTCTAACTGCATCCAAGACCCTTCCTTGCAGCGGAGGACCTGGTTTCTCACAGCATCTTGTCCGTATGTTCTGAATTATCTTGGGCTGGAAACATAGCCATGTTTTTCAATTGTTTGGTTCCTAGAAACCTAGATGAGGGTGGTTTCCTCTTGGAAGGGGTTGTGTTGCTTTTGCTCAGTGGTCCTGGATCTTGTAAAGTCCAGGAATGTCATCTCTTACGACAGGGTTTCCACCTGTGGATACAGTCCCTTAGTTCCTTTCCGCTTCCATACAGCTACCCTGGGGCTGCTCTGTGGCTCCCAAGTCCTGGAGCCCTGCAGAGACCTCAGGTGTCCATAGATGAGTGTTTGGTGAATTTCTGAGACCAACTTAGACCTTGGTGCTGATGGGTGAGCGAAATGACTCTTGGTTCTGGCCCCCCATGTTTACAGACTTTTCTAGGTTTTGCCTCTCTGATTCCTTTTGCCTTTCTGAGTGCTCTGTAGCAGTTCGTAGGCGTAGTTTCAGATCTGGAGATCTTGAAGTGAACTTGTGGGCTGAACCGTGGAGTGTTTCCTGTAGCGCCCAGCCCTTCATGGTCACTCCCCTTGTTCATGTGAGTTGGGATATGTTGTTGCTGAGAAGGGGGTGACCTTGCCAGGCGGTGGGTGAGACCCTGGGTCCCACTGTCTTTCCCTCGGTAGTGCACTATGTCCCGTTGCAGGTTGCCCTGGATTTGCCGAGGTTCTACAGACATTCAGCACCTGCAAGGGGATGCTGGGCGAGATCCTGTCTGCATTTGAGTTCATGGATGCCGAATGCATGCAGTTGGTGGGACAGCACCTCCACCTGACCAACCCGGTACAAGGTACCTGCTCCTGTGCAGTTGGGCAACACTGCCTTGCTGCTTCGACACCATGGGACAAGTTGGACCCCTCTGAGGTTCCAGCAGTGGCATGTCCCAGGCAGGCACTGTGTGGCCATTGTGTATAGGAAAGCTTGGCTGTCTTTTAACACTGAATTCAATCTGTGGTAGGATGAACTTGTATTATTGTACTGGAAGAAGCCTTAATGTTGTGTTAAGGGGACAGTGCCCCTCAGTAAGTTAGTCATACACATTTTAGACAGTAAGTTCTTATGGTAGAAATTATGGCCCTTAGCCCGTAGTAACCATGTCTGGGCTGATTGTCTACCGACAGGTGGCCTTTCCCTGAGGTTCTGGAGTTTTGTAAGTGTTGCAGGATATTTGATCTCTCTGTGAAACTTCGAGACTGACTTAGTAAAATTAACCTTGGATCAGGGGTGGAGCCAGCAACTAGTTAACAAGAATTAACCATAGAAAGTATGGATGACCCAGGAAGATGGATAGAAAGAGGCACAGGAAGGAGTAGGGAGGGACTTAGAGGTTCATGGGCCCTTTTCATTTGGGGTGGATGGAGACACATGCTCTTGCTGGGTCTCCTGACAATTAGGAAGGTCAGCAGGTTGCTTCTCGGCTTCTCTGACCTAGCAGGTTTTCACCTCAACATCTTGACTCCCGAGTCTTTATTGGTAAATAGAACAGCTTAGATAAAAACAGCATGTAAGAGTGGATAAGCCAGCTCTTAAAGCTGACAGTTGCCTTACTGTGCCAGCCTTGTTCCTCAGCAGGCTCTTAGGAGGTACCCAGCTGGACCCAGCCATGAGGCTGAGGGTGAACAGGGTGGGGCATCACACAGAGGGTCACCTTTGGTCTGCCAGCAGGAAACTTACATTTAAACCATGTGAAATTGAGCCTGCCCGAATGCTTCCTGTTCATAGGCCACCCTAAGCACCTGGGATGAGCTGTCTTTGCTGTGTGACCCAGAGTGAAGTGGCTCTAACCAGCAGGTGGGCCCGGGGCTTACACTGCATCTCCTGCTCCCTTACAGAGAGTCCATTCTATGTCCTTGTGGAGACCTCAGGCTCCAGTGCAGGACATGATACTGAGAAGCTGACCAGCGTTCTGGAGCAGGTGCTGAACTCTGGCCTGGTGAGCGACGGCACCATTGCCACGGACCAGAGGAAAGTCCAGGTGATGTTATGCTGCTTTCCACCTTCCTTCCCTCCCCTTCCCATAGCTACAGCCTGGTCTGTCCAGCAACACTGTAGCGTGTGGACAAGCTTACAGCCGGGTTCATGGTGTAGATAGAAAACCTCTTTGTAGTCAAAAACGTGTTCTTGCTATCTAGATCATTTTAACCAACATTAGCAAAATATTCCCACACGTCTCCCCACCCCCAGGCTACGTGGTGAATAGATCTACGTAGCTGACTGTGTGCTGCCTGTAAGTTGGCTGCCGCTCCCCACAGACCTGTCTACAGTGTGGAAAGGCAGGAAGAACTGCAAGGGCCGTAGAAGGCAAACCTGAAGGTCCAACAAGTCCTGGGAATGGGGTGCCCGAGGGACAGACTTTATGTAGGTGGAGTTTTCCTGTCCTCACAGCTAGTTCCAAAATAAATACACAGAGACTTAATATAAACGCTTGGCCAATCGCTCAGGCTTATTACTAACTAACTCGTACATTTTAAATTAACCCATATTCCTTATTTACGCTCTGCCAAATGGTGGTACCTTTACTAGCGTGGCACATTCATCTCCTGCTCCCTCTGCATCTGCTGGCAACTCCAGACTCTGTCCTTTCTCATCCCTACATTCTGTTTGGCTTTCATGCCCAACTCTATCCCATTCAGCTGTTGGCCAGTCAGCTAGTTTATTAAGCCAGTCACAGCAACATATATTCACACAGTGTAAAGGAATAGTCCACAGCAGCCTTACTATATTGTCAGGAAGCCATTTGTTCTCGTAGGGGGACAAAGGAACAGGAGGCATATCTGTTTGGGAGCTGCTCTTCACCTAAACTGAGTTTTAGTTTCCTGGTGTCCTGCTTGGTTCTGCTGTCTGCAGTATGGTAAATTGCCAGCAGAGGGCAGAGAGGCTACAGGAAGCAGCCAGCATTGGTCCTTGAAGAGAGAAAAAAGGAAGGTGCCTAGGGAGTGTGAAAAACACTGAATCCTTGAGCTTTGACCTCTAGAGCCAGCCTGTTATATATCCTATTGTATTTTTTAAAGTATTTTTCTTTATAGTTGCGGTTGTTTTGTTAGTTGGTTGGCTTTTAGATTTTTTTGAGACAGGTTCTCATACAGCTTCATCTGGCCTTGAACATGCTATATAGATGAGGGTATCTTTGAACTTCTGATCCTCCATCTTCCACTCCTCAAGAGCTTAGGTGTTCTTCCATGCCTGGTTTAGTGTAGCAACCTGAGGCTTCATGTTGCTAGGTAAGAACCCTACAACTGAGCTACATACTAACGCTACAGTCCACGTTTATTGAAGTGTAAGCAACTACACTGCTTCATATCAAAGGTGTTGAGGGGAATGTGGTAGCCCTTGTGGCCGATTTGATTCCATGAGGCTGCCTTACTGCCGCAGATTGATTTGGAGGCTGGCAATGATGAACATGTTACTCTCAGCCTGCCTTTGGCCTTGGCCTCTGCTGTAGGAGGAGGCCACTTGCTTGCTCCCAGCTGCTCAGCCCCAAAATAACCACACAGAAACTGTATTAATTAAATCACTGCTTGGCCTATTAGCTCTAGCTTCCTATTGGCTAGCTCCTACATCTTAATTTAACCCATTTCTGTTAATCTGTGTATCGCCACGTGGCTGTGGCTCATTGGCAAGGTTCCATCCGGTGTCTGTGATGGCTTCTTGCGACTCTGTCTTCTTTCTCCCAGCATTCAGTTTAGTTTTCCCCACTTAGCTCTACTCTGCCCTATCACAGGCCAAACCAACTTCTTTATTCATTAACCAATAAAAGCAACACGTATACAGAAGGACTTCCCACACCAGGCTTCTTCCTTCATCCTGATGTGGTACTTTCCCGCCTGGTAGTGACCCTGTATCTGCTCCTGATGGTAGAGCTGCTCACTCTGAGCCCTCAAGGTCCCCATGTCCCTCCCCATCATGCTGGTCCCTCTGGAGTTTCCTAGAAAATGTCTGGGAGAGACTGGAGTGTCCCAGCATCCCCCTCTCTACTTAGCTGGTGCTGGACTTGGATTCGGGTTTATTGACACCCTTTTCTAGAGCTGTAGCTCAGTGAGAGGATGTGGTCTGATCCCTGAGCATCCTTTTCTGGTGCGAGGATGGTTTTGAAGATGTTTCTGCTGACTTCTTATGTTGAATGAGGCCTTGGGGAGTCCTGAGTCACCCTGCCCTCTGGTCCTTTTTTTTCTTCAGAAGCCCCGAGTTTTCTATTGAAATTTATTAGTGTGTGTGTGTGTGTGTGTGCACATGTACATATATGTGTGCATTTGTGTTATAGCATGTGTGGCATGTTGGACAGGGGACAACTTTGCAGAGTCAGTTTTCTTCTTTTACCATGTGGATTCTGGGTATTGAACTCAAGTTGCCAGCCATACACAGCAAGTGCCTTTCCTGCTGAGCCTTCTCTCTGGCCTTTTCCCCTTTTTAAAAATTATTATTGTGTGTGTGTGTGTGTGTGTATGTAGGTGGAGTTTTCTTTTGGGACCAACGGTCAGCTCTGCCCCACCAGCCGCTCCCAGACACACAGAGACTTCTTTTTAATTATGAAAGCTCAGCCAATAGCTTAGGCTTGCTTTTAGCTAGCTCTTGGAACTTAATTAGCCCATTTCTATTGATCTACGTGTTGCCCCAAGGCTAGTTTACCTTATCTGTGTACTTTCCATTCTGCCTCATCTACATTTGACAGAAGAGTCAAGTCTAGCCTGGGGTGAGATAAATGAGTGTACTAGGATTATTTATAGGAACACGTCTGACTTATAGGAAGCAAATGTGTCAGAAAGTGTTCACCACTTGCCTACTAAACATCTACCTTTGCACGTGTATTCAGAGTGCTGTCTAGTGCCGAAGTATCGGGCGGTCATTAGCTCAGATAACAGCAGGAGCCAACAAGTGTCTGGGAAAGTTACGGTGATTCACACTCTACTTTGGCTTTCTTTTTTAAAAAATATTGATTCATTTTTATTTTACATGTATGAGTGCTTTGCCAGCTCGTATGTGTATGCACTGCACTCCTTGTGCCTGTACAGGATGGCGGACCTCCTGGAGCCTACAGACTGTTGTGGCCACCATGTGGGTCGTTGAAAAGAACCGGGGCCTCTACAGGAGCAGCAAGTGCTCTTAACCACTGAGTCATCTCTCCAGCCTCTGTCCTTGCTTTGATGAAAGATTCTGTTGGTCTTTGTTGTGACATTGTTAGGCATACTTATTGTATCTTATTCATATCTCCTCGCTGCTACCAACCTCAGTATTTCCTTCTTCCCATGGGTCCCCTTTCTTGCCCCAAAGAGGTTCTCTTCCACTTTCATGCCACATGCATATATGTATACGTATGTACATACAGTTAAACACAGATTCTACATGTGAGACGAAATGTTTCCTGCAGCCTGGCATGTAGAATAGCTAAATGATGGCGGTGATTAGAGGGCCCATCTCGCTTCAGGGACCTCTGGCCCCTCATGCAAACTGTCCCAGTCCTCGCCCTGCTGGAGGTGCACAGCAGATACCAGGCTCTATGCGCTGTATGTCTCTGCGCTGTATGAGAACGAGGTATCCCACTGGTTGGACACCAGCAGTGACCTGGTGCCGTACAAGGCTCACACCAGTGCAGTGAGGGCCCTGTCAGCCCTGCCTCGTGAGGAGCCCTGGAGGGAGGCCACACAGGTGAGGGCAACAGGGTGATGGGATGGGAAAGTAGGAAGATATCCCCAGGGGTATGGGAGAGAGGGTAGATGTTCTAGAGGTTGGGGAGGCTGAAGCAGAGCTAGGGGACAGAGGCTGGCTAGGGACAGTAGGTTTAGTGACTGCAGGACAAGCAGGGAGCATCACAGATCAGTATCCACCACGTTCCTCTCAGAGCTAGATGTGTCTGTGGTGAGGACTGGATAGTAGCCATTTGGCTAAAAGTTGAGAGAAATAAAACAACCAACAAAACAAAACTGGGTAGTGGTGGCGCATGCCTTTAATGCCAGCACTCAGGAGGCAGAGGCAGGTGGATCTCTGTGTTCCACCTGGTCTACAGAGCAAGTTCCAAGACACAGAAAGGAACCCTGGTTCTAAAAATTGCACACACACACACACACACACACACACACACACACACACCTGAAAGAATTGGGGATATTTGGGCTTTGACTGTAGCCTCAATGGTGATGAGGGATTGTGGTTTTTTATTATTATTCAGGGTTAAGCCTGTTGTGAGGAAACGTAGGAAAGGAGGGGCTATGGAGCCAGTAAATTACTTGCTGTGCAGCAGGTGCGGTGACCCGAGTTTGATCTTGAGAACTCATGTAAAAGGCTGGGCATGGTGGGATGGGCTTCTAATCTGAGCACCTGGGAGATGGAGATCCCTGTGGTCAGCTGCCTAGCAAGCCTAGCCTGACGCTTGAGTTGCAGGCTATTCAGAGACCCCTGAGGAACATTTGAGGATGCTATCTGAAGAACAATACTCAAGGTTGTCCTTATACCTTCACACGTAGTACACACACACACACACACACACACACACACACAGAGAGAGAGAGAGAGAGAGAGAGAGAGAGAGAGAGAGAGAGAGAGAGAGCGCGCAAGCGAGCGAGCAGGTGGCAGGGGAAGTCCTTATCTTTTGTTTTACTTGGTACGTTCCCTGAAATGTTGGGGTTTTTTCAGGAACTGATACAAGGGTGAAGGTGTAAGCACTGTGGCTCGGATGCAAAGGAATTCTGGCAGTTGGGAGCCAAGGAATACTAAGTGTTACTGCTTGGATGGAAAAGTATTCTGGCAATCAGGAGCCAAGGAACACCACAGGTCCCAGTAAGAGTCGCAGCTTACAGCCCTGCTCCTGGGAAGGCTTCCTCAATGTAACAGCTCTGCTCTGGCAGGGGAGGGTTTCTCCAGGGAAGTTGTAGAACCGCTCCATTCAGCTCTGCTAGGGGAACCTTTCCCCAACAAGTGTTATAGCGTTGCTCGGCTCCACTCGGCCCACGCTTCGTCTCTGCTCCAGAGAAGGTCTTCACCCAAACCTCATTCAAGAAGTTTATTGAGAGGGAAGAATCCAGGAGAGTGACTCTGCCTGACTCTGCCGGGGTGGAAAAAGGCAGCAACAAACTGAAGAGATGGAGGGCTCATATAGAGCGCCTTAGGGGCTGAGTTTTTCCAGGGAGATTTTTTCAGGGTGGCAGTTGGTCAGATTTCAGTCCCTTGCACTCAGATTGGCTAGATCTCGTGTGCTCAGGGATTGGTTGGTTTTCTGTTTTAGAACTGATTCGTTTTCCTGCTGAGGTTTGGTTGGTTTTCTGCTTAGTTGGTCAGGGGCAGATTCGGCTCTGATTTCAGGGTCAAAGTGTGTCTTTCACTGGCTCTGGTTTCAGGGCCAGGCTGGGTTTCTTTGGCTGGCCCTTTTGCCCTACAGAAGCTCCTGGTGTGACAAAGTGGCAGATAGTGGCTGACTCTGCAGGGGAGAGATGGGGGTCAGTCCTTGTAAGTTTCAGTGTATGAAAGCTAAGTAATGATGGCACAGTTCTTGTGAATGAACAACTCTGCTCCAGGTTCCCTCGGCTCAGCTTTGGCCTCCCTATCCCCTTTCCAGCTTCCACCGGTTCTTCCAACAGCCCAGGCCTTGGCTCACCAAGCCCCTCACCTGCATCTGTGAAGCCCTGGATTAAAGCAGCGCCATGTCAGAGACACTGGCCCCTGGAGCCCCGTTAACGTGTGCGCTGACCTGTTTTCTTTCATTGTCCCAGATGCTGTGGGCCCTGCGGGAGAGGATCACAGAGGCGCTCAGCCGTGACGGCTACGTGTTCAAGTATGACATATCCCTCCCGGTAGAACGGCTCTATGACCTCGTGATCGACCTGCGCACCCGCGTTGGCCCTCGTGCCAAACATGTGGTGGGATACGGGCACTTGGGTGAGCTTCACTGTGGTGCACTGAGTTAAATATGTTAAAGATAGCCTCGGAGGCTCTACTGCCGTCTGTCTGTCTGTCCCGAACAAAGTCCTTTATATTTACCGAACAGCCTAGGAAAGGTCATATGGGGAATGAATGAGGGATAACTTACAGAAATCTCTAACAGAATTTCACAATCGATTGGTATTTACTCCAATTTATCCCAGCCAGTCCCAAAGTACTCAGTGAACAAAGAGAACTATAAACATACACTATCAAGTTATATCCATGTTGACTCCAACATTTATGACAGAGATTTGCCATTTGAGGCTTTTTTTCACCATTTCCTGTTTTCAGCAAATGATTACCATCATGTATGTGTCCTCTGGGTGGGGGCATGGAGGAGTAATCTGATATTATATACAGCATGATTACCATCGCATACCTATATACAGCCACGTGTTTCCTCTGGGTCAGGGTCATTATGATTATACCCATGCATTCACTTAGGTTGTAAAAGCTGATTATATGAGACATGTACGATTGGTTCTTACATTGTTTTTTTTTTTAAGCAGGCTAAATAAACAGGCTGAGTATATAGCAGGGTATCCGGTCAATTATGTAGTCTTATATTAACTTGGCTGTGAGGTCCAGCAAAAGTTCCAGTTTCTTAGACTGTAAGAGATACTTTCTTAAAACAGCATCACTTTAGCAACTTCTATAGTTGAGCTTGTCAGTTGAGTTCGGTGTTTTGTACCATCAAAGGGCTCAAGTCCTGGATTGAGAGGATGCCCTTGTTGTTATTTCTTTCTCTTTTCTTGGTTTTTTGTTTTCAGTTCTTGAGACAAAGTATCTCTTTGCTACTCTGTAGCCCTGGCTGACCTGAAATTCACTATGTAGACCAGGCTGGCCTCGAGCTCAAGGAGCCCCACCCGCTTCTGCCTCCTGAGTGCTAGGCTTGAATCTGTGCACCCTTACACTCTGCCCTCAGTTCTTTTATTTCAGGTATTGTTTGAAAAGTCTTTGTGTACCAGAATGGTTCTCGCCAGCCCGTCTCTTTAGACCAAAGTCAGTTTCCAGTCATTCTAGGGAGGATAGAAAAGTGATGCTGTAGGTCCCATGGTGTTGATTGACAGGAATGACTTGTTTATCCAACTGCCTGTCTCTGACACCTTGCTGGGTTGGGGCCAGCAGTGGAGCTGTGGACTTCTTGCTGCTTCCCAGGGCCTCACTTGCCTGAGGTACTGTAAGGTGGGGCTCAGCAGCTGCCATTCGAAGTCATGGAGGGTTGAAGGAATGGGTAAGGAAGGGCTGTGATTCATAACCAGGATGGGCAAGGTACATCTGGCTAGGGGAGAGTGCATCTCACAGGATATTAGGAGTGAGGAGGACCTTTGGGGGCCTGCTCAGACTAATTGTTCCCTTGTTCCCCAGGGGATGGTAACCTTCACCTGAATGTGACAGCAGAGGCCTTTAGTCAGGAGCTGCTCGGTGCCTTGGAGCCCTACGTGTATGCCTGGACAGCGGAGCAGCGGGGCAGTGTCAGCGCCGAGCATGGCCTAGGCTTCAAAAAGAAGAACGTCCTCGGCTACAGCAAGCCGCCTGTGGCTGTGAAGATGATGCAACAGCTCAAGGTCCTGCTGGACCCCAAAGGCATCCTGAACCCCTATAAGACTCTGCCCGCTCAGGCCTAATCTTGTTGCTGCAAGACGCCGGGACCTCGGGCACGGCAGGGTTGATAGGCCTTGTGGCCTGCCATCTGATGACACCTGCAACAGACCAGGTGTCACTGGCTAGCCGGGAGCCAACTCTGAGGACCCTCTGGACTGGGCTGCCTTTCTGTGAGTTGAGCAGAGTAGACAGAGCCGCCTGGTCCCTTCTCTAGTCTCCTGCCAGCTTGTTGTGGATAGACTAAGTGGGCAGGCAGTTTCTCCACTCCCAAACAGGCCGGCTCTCACCTGCTTTGTGGTGGCTGGTGGAGACCGCCTTGCTGCAGCTCCGGGAGGAGTGTGGTGTGATCTCTTCACCGAATGGATCCCTGTGTGATGTGTGTGCCCTGTGAGGGCTGCAGGCTAGTTGTCCAGCCCCAGATCAGTTACCATTATGATGTAGAATGCCACACGACTCATCCACATGGAGCTGAGTGGAATCTTCTGTCTTACCAAGCAGGTCTTGGGTTGGCAACTGATCAGGCAGACCATATGTCTTGTTTTGGTTTTTTTTTTTTTGTTTTTTGTTTTGTTTTGTTTGTTTCGTTTAGCCCTGACTATCCTGAACTTACTATGTAGGCCAGACTGATCTTTCTGTCAGAGATCCTCCTGCCCGTGCCTCTGCCTCCTGAGTGCTGGGATTAAAGGCCAGTGCCACTGCACCCGGCTTACCTCGTTCCTGAAGGCCTGTCTGGTTGGTAAGCAGGTGTGGTGGGCTGTGAGTGCTTGCAGAACTTACTGGCAGGGGACAATCTCCAGACTGAAGTGATAGAGGCGACTTTCAGTCCTGGGCCTACCCTGTGGCCTACACCTGCCCTCCAGGACTTTGGCCGTTCTCCTGGCCTAGATTCCTGGCAATCTGGGAGGTCGAACACACCTATCTCCTCTTTGCTATCGTTAATTTCCAGAAAAGAAAACTTTGAATTATAACCTGCTGCTGGAAAGTCATTTACATAAACTCAGTTGTAAAGTTCTGGCTTACAACACCCCTCCCTCCGCACATTTGGTGCTCTCTGGGTTCCCAGTGTGTCTTCACATGTGGATTGGGAAGTAAACGTGGTGGTGGTGGTGGTGATGGGTATTGGAGGAGGAAAAGGCTGCAGCCGCCCTGCCCTTTAGCGTGGTTCAAATAGGTCCAGTGAATGTGGGGTCCCAAAGCAGGTGTGTGCTAAGCCCTTCTGGTTGGTGCCAACCTTACTCTTGCTCCTGCTGGGCATTTGTTTGTGGAGTTCACAGGGTGAGGGGTGGGCCAAGGGGCTGTGGTTTTCTCCTCTTGAGTTGCTATGTGATGTTCCCTTTGATTCTTCCATCCCTGGGGAAGGGTCACTTCTTAAAACCCTATAGCTTTCCCTTTTGTGTCTTGAAGTCAGTACATTTTGACGTGAGTGGCATCTAAGAGTTGATGAAATACAGCATGGTCGGTGTAGCAGTGTGTACCCGGAAGACAAGCTATCCAGGGTTGTGTTAGCACTGACTGCTCAGACAAGGGAACAACAGCGAGTTCTACCCATGTCAAAAGCTAGCTGGAAAATGAACTTGCTTCTGAGTCTGCTCACTGACCAGACTACAGTCACCGAGGACAGGGAACATCCTGAACCTACCCTGGGCACATAGGAGGCACACCCCAACCCATCGTGGTTTGCTGGCCCGATGTCCTTGGTCAAGTGTGTGGCAGTCAGATTCCTTGAGAAACCTTAGGCCTCTGACACAGCTGTCCCCTAACACCTCAACACAGGAAGAAGAGTTAGATTATTGTCAGAAGATGACAACCCCCCTGTGGGAGAGAGCTGGGTGGAGTGGTGCTTGCTTTTAATCCAGCATTCAGGAGGCAGAGGCAGGCCGATCTCTAAATCAGAGAGTTCCAAGCCAGCCAGAGCTCCGTAGCGAGATCCTGTCTTAAAACGCAAGGATGGAGGACCAAACATCTGACTCCTCCCATTCCACTGCACACAGGAAGTCTCTAGTGTACAAACCGGGAGGGGCTATTGTGTCTGGATTAGAAGTTTAGGGTTCCCCCTGCAGATGTCTGAGCTGTTGGAATATGAGCCCTGCTTACCTAATCAGGACGGTGGGAGGAGCACAGCCGGGGCCAGCAGCTGCTCAGAGAACTCGGTCTCAGTCCTAGGAAAGATGGCTGGGGCGTGGGCAGGCCCTGGCCAGGACTACAAGGGGCCGTGTGGTCTTCCAGAGCAGTGTGCTTCACAGAAGAAGGACAGATGTCACATGAAGGTGGTCAGTATCCAGTGCCATGTATGGCTATGGCCATGGAGACCTTACTTGTGGGGGTTGTGCTCACTGGGCCCAGCACCCCTATCCAGTAGTGGCCATCCTGAACCAGCCCCTGCCCCTGGACATAGGGGATGCAGAGGACCTCTGCTCGTGTTCTTGGTATTTTGGTGGCAACCTCCCATGGCTGACTATCTGGAATCCCAAAGCCTGCGCGGGTAGGTGACCCACAGGCATTAGAAGAGAACCCCTCTGCTGAGAGCAAGCATACCTAGAATGGGCTACCACTCTGGAGTCACAGAGCTGTGCCCTGATGCGCTCCCTCCTGGTGGGGTACCTCATCTCTGAGCCTGGTGTCATTTTTTCTTAAAAATGTGCAGGCAGCCTGAGGTAACTGTATTTTCTCTCAGCATGACCGTTTATCGCTAGTTAGGGCCAGGGTCTGCCCCTGCAAAGTGCTCCTTGGCATTTCTGCACATTCCTGCCTCAGGTCTATGGACAGCCTGAGGCATGTCCTGCTGCAGAGTGCATGGGGCGGCTATGGCCTTACACTCATGGACACCTTCCTGTCGGTCTCAAGATCCAGTGCCCTGGGAGCACAGTGAGAAGAGGCAGAGAAATAGACTCCATCTCAACAAGCCAAGACTGCTTTATTGGAGCAGCGAGTGGATCCAACCTTTCCATGGGATGGAGGTTGAGCATGCTTAGAGGGGGCAAACACATACACACACATGTACGCACACACACATGCACGCGCGCGCACACACACACACACACACAGGTAATGGGAGTGGTTTGTTTTCAATACCTGGGCATATTGTTTCTTCAGGTGGAATGGAACTGAGCACACACACACACACACACACACACTCACTCTCTCACACTCACACACATACAAAAAGAGAGAGAGGGAGGGAGGAAATGGGAGTGGTCTGTTTTCAATCCCTGGGCATATTGTTTCTGCAGGTGGAATGGAACTGAACACACACACACACACACACACACTCACACACAGGTTTTTAAATAGATTTATTTATTCATGTATTTTATGTATTGAGTGCTCTGTCTTCATGTACACCAGAAGAAGGAATCTGACCCCTTTATAGATGGTTGTGAGCCACCATGTGGCTATTGGGAATTAACTCAGAACCTCTGGGAGGGTAGTCAAGTGCTCTTAACCACTGAGCTATCTCTCCAGCCCCTAGGGTGGTTTGTTTTTGATACCTGAGCAACGTGGAATTGTCAGACTGGGGCTGCGTCTTTATGGCTAGTGGCTAGTACAACAAGCCTCAATTCATGATCAGAGGCTATTACTCAATAAGTACAAGACTAACTGTTAGGTTCTAGAACAGCACATGGCAGGCAGGGTAGTAGAAAAGAAGGGCAGTGGATAAGTTAGACTTGACGAACGCTTGGCTGAGGCCTGAATGTGACCTGTGCAACTGGGAGCCTGGTCTGACCTGGTGCACGTGGGCCAGATGACGGTTGGTCTCCCTGGATCCTGGCTTGCCCTTTTCTACAGGACTGCAGCCGTCTTCCCCTGTTGGCCCTCATTCAGTAGGAATATAAACAGGTGTTCCTTGGGACAGTAGCCTTGGACGTTGGAGTTCTCTTTATAGAATGTGTGACTGCCAGCCACCGCCTTAGTTTATAGGCAGTGTATTTGGTTATGTGGCCCTGGGGTCTTTGGGACAGTGGGGGAGATGGAGGACGGGTAGCAGGACACATTTCAGGCAACACATGAAGATTGGCCTCTGGCTCTGGAAAAGTGGAAAGCCAGGGGCAGCCAGATTGATCCTCCTATTGATTCTCACTAAACCATGCACTGGAGGGAGCCACTGGACCGTAGCCCTCCCTACTGCAGGCCCCACTGACCTGGCCAATAGCTGCCCTTGCCTTCTGTTTGACAGGTAGACTCTTTGTCCTCCAACCCTAGCCTGAGATGTGAAGAATTGATCCTTTGTTCTCTGGCACGTCAGGCAGAACCGGCTCGATGCCAGATGGCCAAGCGGCACCAACTAGACAGGCAAACTAATGGGCTTGACCAGCCTTGGGTGGCACTCTTCCCACGCTAGCTGTGGATCTGGCTGCGGGGAGGCACAGACTTTATGCTTAGCACATTAGCAGAACTGGTCTGGGAGAAGGCAGAACCCCAGGGAGATGGAGCTGTCTCATACAATGCATCTCATGGGCCAGCAAGGCCAGTTGGAGATTCCTTTGTCTTCTGGGTCAGGTCATGTTCCACTAGACACAATAATTTGTTACTCTAAGCTGCCACATCCCTGAGCCTTTGAGACTTTAAAGAAGGGCTAGAGGCCACAGACTGTGTCTCAGTAGAGCCTCTTGGTCACAGGAGACTGCACCTTCTGTGTGACTGGCCATCCCCTCCAGATTCTGGAGGAATCTGGGGCTAGGGGTCACGGCGCCACACTGTCACAATGTCCTGTCTTTTCTCAGGGGCATGAAGGTACATGGCCTCTTCCTTCTGCTCAGCCCCTGTAAGTCAGTGAGAATCCAGAGAACTGGTACCCCAGCCTTGAAGAAGGGTGTTAATTTGAGGACCTGATTACATGTGTCCTGGACAGTTTTCTGCCTTCTGGGCCACTGTCTGTCACTGTAGAGCAGCTAAAGTATCTGAGATGTTTTAGGGGTGCATGAGGTTCACTATACAATCCATTATGTCTCTGATTGTAGCCTGGACGGGAGGATCCGTGAGTTCCTCTCCTAAGGTGGAGCAACCCTTACCATTTCCAGAGTGGAATGTGGGGGAGGTGAGGTGTGGGGCAGAGAACAGCCTGGTGCAGCCAGTACCACACATCTGTAGACTCACCTGCCGTTATTTTGGAGAGCTAATTGCCAGACCCTTGTACTTTAAGTTCTGGGATGTGTACTGGCCTTAGAAAATTCTGTCTAGCTCTTGGCCCCGGTGGAGAAGGTTGTTAAAGGACTCTGATGAGGGCTCCGCTTTTTTTTTTCCTTTCAGGAACCACCTAAGATTCAGCATTTAATAATTAGGAGATAACTTATCAGGACGTGAAAACACTTAAGTCTGAAAAACTGGGAGGGGAAGGGGATGAACTGACTTTATAAACGAACTGTGTAAGCTGTGAGAAGAAGGCATGCTTTGTGAAACCTTTGTACCTTCAAGTCCCTGTCTGGGTGCTACTGTTGGGAGGCAGAGGCGGCTGAATCTCTGATCAAGGCCAGCCTGGTCTACAAAGGGAGTGAGTTCCAGGACAACCAGGACTACACAGAGAAACCCTGCCTCAAGAAACAAAACAGAACAATAAGTAACTACTATAAATAATTATAGTTAGTTACAATTCTTTATAAGTTATAATTATTTATAGGACTTAGATAAATGAAGCCATTTGTTTTTCCCTTGGCTTGAGAGGACAATGTGCTAGGTATCGGCGTGAATCAGCGGCAGGTGTCACTCTTCTGTGTGGCGGGGATCTTGTTTGTGCCTTCGAGTTCTATCCCAGCCTGGGTCATAAGGTTCTGTGATGTTTGCTCCTGATTGTCAATATGGCTACTTATTTGCTGTCCATTCTAGTTGGGAATGGTCTGAAAGTCACCTCGCTTCTGCTGCAGTTGTCTGTCCATCACTAAGATGATATTTTGTCTCGTCTGTCTGGGCTCCATCTTGCCAGCTCACGTGTTGCCCTCGTTCGTAGTGACATTTCTTCTTTATCGCTTAGCCAGTGTTCAGTTGCTGTGAGGAGACACGGTGACCACAGCAACTCTTATAAAGGAAAACAGTAATTGGGACTGGCTTGCAGTTTCAGAGGTTTAGTCCATTACTGTTATGGTGGGAATCAGGGCAGCATGCAGGCAGATACGGTGCTGGAGAGGTAGCTGAGAGTTAGTTCTACATTCGATTGGCAGGCAACAGGAAGAGAGAATGACACTGGGCCTGGCTTGAGTGTTTAGACCCCAGAGCACAGCTCCAGTGACATACTTCCTCCAACAAGGTCATGCCTTCTAATCCCTGTCAAGTAGCACTACTCCCTGATGACCAAATGTTCAGACATATGAGCCTGTGGGGGTCATTCCTACTCAAATCACCATATCTACACTTCAGTTTCTCAGCCAAGATGCCCCAGCCACTGCTTTATGAGACAACACAATTTTGGAGGCCCCTAGCCCTTATTAGCAACTGAACACACTGGTGAACTGAATAGGAGCTGCTATGCTGAGGGCAAGACCCTCAGTGGAAGGGGCTAACACCTGCCTCTCTCAGTCTCTCTGATCTCTCCGAATCTTCACAAGCATGTATGGTGGTCTGAATGAGAACTACTGTAGGTTCATATATTTAAATGCTTGGTCATCAGTTGGTGGAACTATTTGGTAAAGGTTAGTGGGTGTGGCCTTGTTGGAGGAGGTATGCCACTCAGGGTGGACTTTGAGGTTTAAAAGCCAATACCAGACCCAGTCTCTCTTTCCCTCCCTTCAATCCTTCTTCCTTCCTCCCTCCTTTTCCCTCCCTCTCTTCCTCCCTCTCTCTGCCTCCATCTTGTGAATCAGATGTAAGCTCACAGTTTATATTCCAGCACTGGGCCTACCTGCCTGCAGCCATGCTTCCCGCCATGATGATCATGGACTAACCTTCTGAAACTCTGAGCAAGCCCCCAGTTAAATGTTTCCTTTTATAAGTTGCCTTCACCATGGTGTCTCTTCACAGCAATGGAACAGTAACTAAGACAGTATCTCTGGAGCTCGTGTTCTTCTGGCCTTCTGGGTGGTGAAAGGTCCCAAGGTATTGTCTTCTTCTGAGCATCCATCCTACCCTGGTGTATAGTCATCTTGTGCAGGTCACTGGCCAAAGCAAGGATGCAGGGTGTCCAGTGTTCTGATGTCTAAAAGCACATGAGAAGGGCAGTTTTCAAGGTTTTCTCATAGGTCAAGAACCAGAGCTAGCCATGGACGACAGGGTCAGGGCCACTACCATGGATTGCTGTGGCTCTCTGTGGGGAGCTGTCATCATTTTTTCAGCTTGTATAGGATGCTGTCTGCGTGGACTTATCTCTTTTGTTGTTGTTTGTCTGTTTATTTTCAGACCGGGTTTCTCTGTATAGCCCTCACCTGGAACTCCCTCAGTAGACTAGGCTGGTCTTGAACTCACAGAGATCCTCTTGCCTCTGCCTCCCGAGTACTGGGATCAAAGGCATGTATCATTGTAGTAATATGGGGCGGCAGGGCTGCGTCCCCCACACCCGGCCGCCCACATGGCTAGCTTATGCTCCGAAATAACAACACACAAACTGTATTCTTTTAATCACTGCTTGGCCCTTTAGCCCTAGCCCTTACTGGCTAATTCTCACATCCCAATCAACCCATCTCTAATAATCTGTGAGAACCGGTCTTACCGGGAAGATTCTAGCCTAGTCCATCCTGGGTCGGAGCTTCATGCCAGGAGCAGGGCATGGCGTCTCTCTCAGGCGTCTGCTCCTGAGAGGAAAGCTGTCGAGACTCTGACCTCACTTCCTCTTCCTCCCAGTGTTCTGTCCTGTTTTCTCCTCCCACCTATCCTCTAACCAATAAAATGGGCCAGGGCAGTGCCTTTATTAGCCAATGACCTTCCTCCATCATATCATCACTGCCTGACTTGGATTTACCTCTTACATGTTAAGTAAGATAATTTCTCAGAATTTTCATTAACTAAGTAATTCTGAGATATAATCTCACTATGTATATAGCTCTGCCTGGCCTTGAACTCACGTAGATATGCCTATCTCTGTCTTCCTGAGTGCTCGGATTAAAAACCACCATGCAGGAACTGTCTGTGCCTCTTGAGTGCTGGGATTAAAATATATTCATTTTTGACATCACTGTCCTCTTTCAAAGGTTCCTTTTTACCCCAAGATTAAGAAAAAAAAATCGCCAGGCGTTGGTGGCACATGCCTTTAATCCCAGCACTCGGGAGGTAGAGGCAGGCAGATCTCTGTGAATTCGAGACCAGCCTGGTCTACAGAGCTAGTTCTAGGACAGGCTCTAAAACTACAGCAAAACCCCGTTTTGTTTTGTTTTTTAAAAAGTCTCTTTTCCTTTTAGTATAAAGAGAGCTTTGAAGAAGAAAATATTACTGGAGTTTGATCACACATCTGCAGAACGATTGGCCCATTCCCAGATCTCTATTACCCACAACAATTAGGGAATGTGTGTCTAAACACCCCCAAAAGTCCACCACCACCACTGGGGCAGCTCCCTCCGAGACTGAGGATTAACATGGAAGGTGCAGAAGGCGAAAACATGAGTCTGAACAGGGAAATTTTCCTGGGTCAGACAGACATCCCAGCTGCCAGGGCCCCACCTAGTGATACAGGAGGAGAAGGAAGAGGAGGAGGAGGAGGAGGAGGAGGAGGAGGAGGAGGAGGAGGAGGAGGAAACCTAGTGAGGGAGGGGCCAGCATTCCCTTCTGAATTTAAGGGAAGTCCGATTCCTCTTTAGGTTACAGCAGTTAAACCAGGTTACTGGGGTGGGGGTGGGGAGTAGAGGGTGGGGCCTGGGGTGGCACCTGAGCCTGCAGGTGAGCTTCTTAGGGATTTAAGTTCAGTTTCCCCTGAAGCTGTGTCCTACCTGGCATGCTGAGAGAGGGCTGTCTCATACTCAAGGCAGTAGTAGTCTTGACCACTACTTCCCTGCCCATCTCTGTTGGAGGCTCTGAGTCAGGATGCTGTCCATCCTGGGAGGCACACAGAGGTAAGGTGGTATGGCTTTAGGTGGTCAGCGTAGGGGGGGGGGCACTTGCTTTCCTTCTAGAATAGTTCAAGAAGCTGACAAAATATGTTGACGGTTTTCTGTCTTTGAAAGGAAGTTGGCTTGGATTTGGGGAAATCAGTGCAGACACCTTCTTGAAATCAATCTTTTTAGATTTCCTGTCAACTTTTTTTTTTTTTTAATTTTTCTGATACTGAGGATTAAACCCAGGGATTTCACCTGCAGCTTGTGGTTGAAGCAAGCCCTCAACCATAGCATTATACCCCAGGCCCAGTTTCACTTTGGACAGGAGAGCGTTTTTTGTAGTTTGGGAAGCCCCTGCATGAGAAAGCCACACTCTGAGCACAGAGATATGGAGCAGTTTACCTGGATTATTTGGGCTGGAGATTTTGGTGGGAAGGCACTGGGGTCAGGGACTTATTAGCTTGGTTAAGTGACTTCTGTCCTGCCCTATGGCTGGGTCCCTCCCTGGTTTTTGTAAGAATGTCTGGGCTATGAGCCCCGGGCATAGTGCCCTGATTCACAGCTGTAGAGAGAGAGTTGGCCTCTGCTCTGAATCATGTAAACACCCCCCCCCCCTCATGGATCTTGCTGGCATATTGTAAAGAATAGGCTCCGCGGTTTCCTAGTTAGTGAGGGGTAAGGCACAAACCTCTGTAACTTCAGGGCAACCCTTAGCTTAGGGGATTCCAGGTTCCTGTTGCCTCTAGGGACCCGAGTCTGAAGGCCTTCTGAAAACCTGTGCTCCTAGAGTGTTGAGTCCAGGGGAAGTCTCCTTCAGGGACAGAGCTGCCCACGGGGACCTGTGTGACCTTGTGGATAGTATGCATCTCCGTGTGTGTGTGTGTGTGTGTGTGTGTGTGTGTGTGTGATGTGGCCATGGAGTCTATGTGTCCTCTGATAAGCTGTCACTTGAGACCAGCTATTGGATCCCACTTTGGAAGCTGGCTTTGAAGAGTAGCGGGTAAAGTAAGGGCATTTGGGTACAGTCTGCCACATGTGGGTGAGGTTAGAACTGAGGCTGAGTGTGGTGTCATATGTCTGTGGTGTGACAAACCTTTCCTGGGGAGACACGACATACCTATCTACTCACCCCAGATAGGGAGCCTATGACAGATACCACCAAAGTCCAGCTTGGTGAACCAATAAGTTGTACTGGAGTTACAGGAATTTATTACAGGAATATGGGAGAGTTTATTTACAGGAGCAGAAGTGACCCAAAGACAGCTGCCTCACCAAAGCCTACCTCAGCACAGGTGACAGCTCGCAAAGCTGGGACCTTGCAGCACAACCACACAGCCTGCAGGCAGCTCAACAGTTTAGAGTGTCCTTTCCAGGAACTGTAGAAAAGGTAGAAAAGCTTGCGTTGTGATGCAAACAGGCCCTGGAGACTAATGGCTAGGTCCCAAGTAGGTGGTATACGATTTTGTTTGTGGAGGCCACCTGACCGTATTGTAGACCTGCATCCTTAGAACCTGGCTGGCTGAGAGCCAAATGACGCCTTCGCCAAGATGCAGTCAGGTGTGGGAGGTAGGGAAGACATGGAGGAGAGGGTGGTAATATTAATTAAAACATTGCTTGGCCCATGAGCTCTAACTTCTTTTTTTTTAATTTTTTTATTACTTAAAAAAATTACCAATCCAAATTCCCACTTCCTCCTCTCCTTCCCCTCCCCTCACACTCCCTCTACACACCCTTCCTCCACCCCCCTCCAATCTTAAGAGAGGACAAGGTACCCTGGCCTGTTGAAAGTCCATGTCCCATTACAGTAGGAAGGATAGTTCTTGGAGTTTTCATGTCATTTTTGACATGAAAAACTGAAAAGAAGCATATTTCAGAGGCTGTTCCTATTGTCCACAGATCTACCTGTCTACTGTTTAGAAGGTGTTTGTGTGTGGCACCCAAAACTCTCTGGTCCAGGGATGCCCAACTTTCTGGATCACTGGCAAGTGATTCATGCTGTGGCTCTCCAGGGGGGTCCTAGGCTGGTCTCACCTCCTATTCTGGTGGGTAGAGGTCAGGTTACCCATTGACTAGCATGACAGGTGGCCCTGGGGCGGACAGTTTATCTCCAAGGCCTGTACTGGATAGGTTGAGGGTGGGTTAGAGGTGCCACAGTTGAGAAGAGCAGAGGTCTGGCATCTGGGAAGGGGTATGTTGCACACATTCTTACAAGTAGCTTTGCTTCTTGCCTCTCTGCATAGGTGTCTCAGACTGGGCAGGGTTTACCACCAGAGCATCTAGGTGGGCCAGATTGGAAGAACTGTACAAGTTTTCCTTTTTTTTTCCTTTTTCTTTTGGTAAATATTTATTTATTTATTTATTATGTATACAATATTTTGTCTGCATGTATGCCTGCTGGCCAGAAGAGGGCACCAGACCTCATTACAGATGGCTGTGAGCCACCATGTGGTTGCTGGGAATTGAACTCAGGACCTTCGGAAGAGCAGGCAATGCTCTTAACCTCTGAGCCATCTCTCCAGCCCTGTACAAGTTTTCTAATACTCCCAGGACCACAGAGTGTTTGCCACTTCTGGGAGTAACCCTTGTCGCATAGGACTCAGCCACCAGCAGGGGCTAGCCCACCCCTGTTCTCTGGGCTCTGCAGGAAGATGCCGTGACTACTGTTTCTCTCTGAATCATGCTGGGATCTATGAGAGTTGTGGCCTTAGACTTTCACAGCCTTTCTTTCCAGTAAAGGTTGGGGAAGTATGGTGGGACCAGGTGCTTGGGTAAAAAGATTTGATAATTTGAGTCATTCCCCGTAAAGTGTTGTTTGTCCTGGTAGCTCACCAGAGCCTGACAGCCACACTGGGAAAGGGAATTGGAATATTCCACTGGAGAAGGGAAGTAGAACATTCTGGAGACTGTTTTCTCCAGGCAGCAAACCTCCTTTGTTCTGATGTGAGATTCCCCCTGTATGATATGAATATATTTTATTATTATTGGTTAACAAAGAAGCTGCTTTGGCCTATGGCGGGGCAGACTATAGCTAGGAGGGAAAACTAAACTGAATGCAAGGAGAAAGAAGGCAGAGTCAGACAGATGTCATGTAGTGGCCCAAGAAGCAAGATGTGAGGTAACAAACCATGAGCCTCATGGTAAAATATAAAATAATAGAAATGGGTTAATTTAAGATGTAAGAGATAGCTAGGAATATGCCTGAGCCATTGACCAAACAATATTGTAATTAATGAAGTTTCTGTGTGATTATTTGGGTGTGGGTGGCCGGGAAACAAAAAATGTGGTCTCCATTTACACTGGTCCAACTAACCTATTTGTTAAAATTATCCAAGCTTGGCTTGGGTGATTTAGCAGCAGATAAGGTGACATCTTTGATGTTCAGATGGGGTCCGTACTTTCTTTGGTAGTTGGGGCAACTGGATCACAAGATTCCTTTACCCTGGCACCTGTGACCATGTCTAGCAGGCCATCTTGGTGGAAACCTCTTGATTCGAAGAGCTGATTGAGACACTCAGGCTGTGGAAAAAGTGGAGTTGGAGGGCTTGAGAGGATACCTGGGGGACTAGGTTCTAAGTAAAAACCTTAGCTTCTGTCCTCCATCTAAGGGTAGAATAGACAAAGGTCTGGGGCTGTCTGGGGGTGGAAGATGGTGTCCAGGTAGGGATGTGTGGGAGTCATGGGAAATATGCCCCCTCATATCCATGTTCTTTTTGGGGGGGGTGCAGATTTTAAGACAGGGTTTCTCTATGTAACAGTCCTGGCTGTCCTGGAACTTGCTTTGTAGATCAGGCTGGCCCCAAGATTCACTGACCTCTGCCCCTCATGTGCTGAGATTAAAGGTGTGTGCATCACCATACCCAGTCATATGCATGCTTAGTTCCTAGAACCTGCATGGTGGAAGATAAGAAATGACTCATGCAGAGTGTCCCCTGACCCTCACTTGCATGACACAGCATGCATGCATACATATGTACAATAAATACCTAAATGTAGTGAAAAGTTTAAAGGAAAAAGAAATGTCTCCTGTCATTGCAGCTGGAAGCTGGTTTATGACCTGGAGCCAGGCACCAGATGGTTTTATGTCATGGATCTATTCAGAGAGAAGTCCTGGGAAAACAGTGATGGTCTGTGAAGCTGGCAGAAGGCTTGCAAAGGTTTTAGACATGCTTACATCTATCTTGAGGGCAGGAGGATTCACGGTGGAAAGTGTTCTATTTGTTTCTTTGTTGAGACAGGGTTTCTCTGTGTAGCTCTGGCTGTCCTGGCACTCACTCTGTAGACCAGGCTGGCCTCGAACTCAGAGATCTGCCTGCCTCTGCCTTCTGAGTGCTGGGATTTAAAGGTGTGCTCTGCTCACAGTGGTAAGTTTAAGTCAATGCTTTGAGAAAGAAGGAAAGAGTTTCTTTTGCTTTCTGCACATGAAAATCAAGATTTATTTTAAAACACTGAAGTTCCTATTTGTCCTCATGTAGAGGACCGGGCTGGGTCTCAGGTCTTAGACTATGACTTGTGTGGGCCCCCAGCTCAGGCAGGGAGGGCATGTGAAGGGTTATGAGCTGTGTTGAGGCAGGGGCAGGTGGTATAGGCTTGGAGCCCTCTTCAGTTTATGATTTGGGAGCCCTGGACTGTGGGCTGTCCCTGTAAAGGTACATTCCCAGCAAGCTCCAAGACAGATGGTTAGTGGGCGCTGAAAGTTTATGAATCCGAGAGGAGGCCAGTGAAAGGTGGCCTGTTTGAGGAAGGATTTTTATGTGGAGGACCAAAGTGATAGCTGGGGGAGAACAGAAGGTGAGCTATTGTTATCTGGCTGGGTTCCTCACCGTTCTTATCAAGTGGAAGTCATACTGTCACTATATAACGTTATATACACATATAACATACTCTTATTATACCCTAACTATATAAGGCTGTAAACAATTCACTACCATGCAGCCAACTTCTCAGGGAGTGGTAACCGCAATGACTCAACAGCATTTAACTTGAGGTGGTGCCTACACTGTGCTTGGGAAGCCCCTCTAACTCATGAGGAATCTCCAGCAGAGACTCCACAGCCTCATTGCTCCTTTCTGTTTTCCCCCTGCCTCGGTGTCAACCCTGCTCATCTGGCAGAGAGAGGACCCTGAAACTGAGGACATTTGGCCAATTTTGGCCCAGTGTGGTTGTGATGTCTGTCTAGTTTCTTCCTCAGGGTAGCTCCTGAGCTCTTTGTCTATACAGACTTCCCGGGAGTGTTGGAGACATGGCTGATACCCAGCACAGGTGACATGTTCCATCCTGGCTAGGGTAGAGCTTTGAATGGCACAATGAGGTGGGCATTGGGTAGTGGGGCTGCCCTGGGGTCCTAAGGGGGTTTTTGTGCTCTTCAGTACAGGTATAGTAAGTAGCTAATGTCATCATGGAATGCCCACATCTATCATGGCTTGTGTCTTTGGGAGCCCCACTGAGGGTGTGGAAGACAGGAGACAAATAATTTGGACTGGAAGAAGCTCAGTTAATGGCTGTAGTCCCTGAATCAGACATGTAGGAGTAGCCTCAGGAGGGTTTCTGTCATATGTGGAGCCCCGGCTTTATCTATGCAGAAGACCTGGAAGATCTGGCCCTCTTGGAGCAACAAGTATCCTTGGCCCTTAGACTAGGATCCCTAAGGACTGTTTCCTGCCAGACATGTCCGGTGCTCCTTGAAGAGGTATGGCTGACTCTAGGCCTGGACTAGGAAAGTTGAAGATGAGCTTGGTAGGTTAGCGAAGAAGCTGACAAAGACCAGAGAAAGGCAGTCAGTAGCAGGCCGGATAGATATTTCAACAAAAGCCTTTTAACTACAGCCCCGTATGCAGCTAGGACACAGACGGACTCACCTGGGAGACAGAGGCTTAGGGCGGTGGGTACTGTTAGAGAGAGAGAGAGAGAGAAAGAGAGAGAGAGAGAGAGAGAGAGAGAGAGGTGGGCAAGGCCCACCTTTTAAAGGGAACGTAGTGAATGTGCACAGGAGATGCTCTTAGTGGCTGCAGATGAGTCCTCATATCTTGTCACGATCCCTAGGACAGGCCAGGCCAGATGCCCGAATTCTAGCAGGTACAGTGAGGCGGGGTGGGGAACACTTACTTATCTCAGAGTACCAGGAAGAAGCTTCCCAACTGCCTTTCCACACCCGTTTCGAGCTTTGGCCACTGTGTGACACATCAACCCGGGCCGTGTACAGCAGGGGCCACTGTTGTACACACCCCAGAAAAGATACGCAGCCGAAAGCCTCCAATTGGAGCCCGCAAGGATGTGTGCCATCTGTTCCTACTGCTACGGTCTTAAATATCCTGGTAGGAGGAGATCAGAGAACAGCTGGTACCCAGGCAGCTCAAGCAGTGAGCCCTTAGAAGGGGAACCTAGGTAAATGCTTTGTCTACAACGGCAGCAAACGCTAGCAAATCTAACTAGATGTAAGGAAAACATAAGACAGAGGAGCTTCATGTTGACAATATGATTAGAGGAACTGTGTCCTGGGGGATGAGACCTACCACCTCCCTGGTCAGGTTCTTTTCCTTTCTGGCCTGTGAAATGTATGACCTCGCTAGGTCCTGCCATGTGTGCAAACTCAGCCTGGACCGGTCATTCTTCGGTGACCCCAGGAATGCCTGGGAACGAGAAAATAAAGAAGCCAGGAAAGCTGGAAGCACAAGATCTTCCATAACCTGATGGATAATGACAAGCAAGTTTATTAAGAAGTATAGCATCTTACATGTTGTTTGTAGGGGGAAATTGGACAGAGTCAGCAAAAGGCTATCATACAACAGGATAGCATCAGCAAGAAGATATCAGCAATGTTGTACAAAGGGAACATAGGGTATCTCAAGTACACCAAGTTGTTGTCGATTTTTTTTTTTACTCTTTGCTCTTTGGGGGCCTGCCACCCACCTCCCAAATTAACACATACGGAGGCTTATTATTACTTATAAATGCCTGGCCTTAGCTTGGCTTGTTTCTAGCTGCAGGGTTCTCCAGCAGCTAGTCCTGCCGGTCTTTCCCTGGGGCTGAGCCAGATGGTGAGTGTCAAACAACCTAGACCTCCCCCCTGGCCACCGAGGAGAAACACACTGAGCCGGGAGTCTGTCAAAGCAGGATTTTAAACTTTATTGCATCAGGGCAGGAACTTATATAAGGCTGAGGTAGTGGGCTGGAGTCTTGGGATGGGGTGAGGTGGAGTGTGGTATAAAGGCCAATAATATCCTGCCATGTCAGCGGTGGCTGGGCAGAGGTGGGCCTAGGTCAGGCTGTGCTGAGTTAGGCTCAGGAAGTTAAACTGGGCCTCACCAAATTCAAGTTAGGCTTAGGAAGTTACACTGGGCCTCATGAGGTCAATATCTAGCCAGCTTTCCTTAACTTAAATAATCTCATCTACCTTTTACCTTGGGGCTTATAGTCTTCTTTTCTTTCTTTCTTTCCTTCCTTCCTTCCTTCCTTCCTTCTTCCTTCCTTTCTCCTTTCTTTCTTTCTTTCTTTCTTTCTTTCTTTCTTTCTGTATATCTTACTTTCACTCTTAGTCTATGGCTGGCTGAGTGGCTGGTCCCTTCTTTTCTCAAACCTTGGTCTCTCTCACTCCCCCTCTATTTATTCTATCTGTCAGCCTCACCTATCCTTTCTCCTGCCTCATTATTGACTGTTCAGCTCTTTATTAGACCATCAGATGTTTTAGACAGGCAAAGTAACAGAGCTCCATAGAGTAAAACAAATACAACATAAAAGAAGGCAACACACCTTTGTATCATCAAACAAATGTTCCACAGCATAAACAAATGTAACACATCTTAAAATAATATTCTACAACACCAAGTGCCACAGATCAGCACTCAGTGGCATTGAGACTGGGAACCATAGCTCTTTAAAGAGAAGAAAAATTAAGTTCTTAGGATCTGAAGCCATAGCTCCCTGCAAGGTCCTGGCCTCAGGTCTTTACTGACCTTTACAAGTATGTTTAGACAATGACTCTTTCCCATGCCCAGGGTTTCAGGGGAAGTCCCAGACTAATCTGGCCCTTAAAACTTAACTTCCTCCTACTCCTCAAAACACCTAAAAATTAGGATCTACAACTGAACCTCAAGCCACAGGGTATTAGTGGGTTTTCACATAGAGGTGAGGAGTGGGTGATGTTCCAGGGTTCCTCCCTGCCAGCTACCATGGGTCTGCTCTCAATGCATGGCAGAGAGGTCACCTGGGAATGGTGACCGAGTACATCGTATAGCCTTTTAGACTGAGCATCCGGGAGTCATATAGTCATCAACAAAGCTCAGGGTCCACGCCCAGGAAGGTGCTAGATACAGCTCTCGGAGAACTGGAATCCTAACCCACTCCATCTGTTGCCCACTTAGATTGTGGGCGCTATCTGTTTTATGTCATGTGGTGTATGAGGCACAGCAATATCAGGAGAGCACCACACGCTCCTGCTAACTGTCCATGTGTCCTTCCAGAGCTTGTCAGAGAGCGCAAAAATCCTGTCACGATCCTGTTTCTAGGAAAAGGAGGAGCCAGTGGGATGCTTGGGAACCTGGGGAGCAGGTGCCTCCTCACAGAGCAAACACAGCAGTGTGCTCATTAGAAAACCAGACCCAGACATTGAGAGGTAAATACACATCCTAGGTACAGGCAGGGAGGGCTACAAAGGCAGGGAAACAACCCCAAACCAAGATCTCCAAGGTTAGGAAGAGATGGTTTTCTAATACTCTATTGCATGTCCAGGGATGTCCTGGGCCAGGGTGGCTGTGCCTCATGCAGTAGCTCTGTGTCCTAAGAATTAGGACCCAGCAGAGGCCTGCCCTCCAGGCAGCTCTGGCACCTGAGTAAGCTTTTCACTGTGACTTAGCTTGAGGCACAATCAGCCGCAGAGCAGCAGCGAAAACGCTTCTGCTTCAGAGGATGGAATGCCAGCACACTCCCTCTCTGTCCCAAGGTGTCCACTTGCCTGATGTAGCCCCTCCCCACGCAGGGACCCTTAAGCAAGAGCAGTCCTTCTGGTGCTTTGGAAGCTAGAGACTGTGAGAAGGAAGTGTGTGTGTGTGTGTGTTCCTGGGCTTGAAGACAGCACCTCTTTTTGTCCTCACAGGATAGGGTCGGGTGCAGAGAGGAGGCAAGCTCTGTGCCTGTCTTCTCATCAGGATACCAATTCCGATGTTCCCATGAGTGTTCTTATAAGGCCACTAAAACTGCTTTCCTATTGGGGGCTGGGGCCTTAGCCTGGGGCTCAGTCCATGCATCTACCCTGCAATCACCCATTTGCAGCTCAGGGGCTTGGGGGGCCCGAGAAGCCCCCAAGTCCTAGGTGATCAGAGATGAGCATGCCTGAGTACCCTGCTCCGGGCTTGTAGGTTGTTACAGGGTTCCTTGTGGAGCAGTGGGTGGGGCTGCGTATCCAAGCAACACTGAGCTGCTACTGCCCACAGGTCCTTCCATGTGGCACTCTTCTTCCTGGTGCTGGTTGTGCTCCTGATGGCGGGCTTCCTGAATGTGGACGTCGAAAAGTTTAAGCCGTAAGTTCTGCGCAGGTGCCTTATGCTCTGGGAGGTTGAGCTCTTCTCCTGCAGCTCCAAGAGCGCTCACGTTCTCACTGAGCCTCGGAGTCCTCTCTGGGAGAAAGTGCTAAGCTATGCTTGTCCTGGGCATGTATCCTATGATGGCAAGCCTGCTTGGAAGCCTTCTGAGGCAGCTCTGGGGAGCAGGCGTGGCCTAGCCAGCCCGGCCTGGGAAGGGAACTGAGGAGAGCTGGGTCTACAGTGGGAGCCGTGGGAAGGCCACCTCCCAGTCTACAAAACGGCTTGGCTTTTCTAAGCATGGCTTTTGGGTGGGGAGGTCACAACTGTACTCCTTTGTCACTAGGCCCCAAAGCACTCACTCCCCTGCCTGCCAGGGCTACCCCATCCAGAGGGTGGCCATCTATGCCCACTTGCACAACCAACTGCCTCCCAGGCCAGGATTCCGGGAGGGTCTTATCTTCCTGGCCTTCATGCATCCTCCAGTTGGATTTGTATGACGAGGGGTAAATTGTCCTCAGAGGAAACACACTGTCCCAAGATCCACTGGATCCTGCTCCTCACCATTTTTGTCCATCTTACTGGCCTACATTAGCACAAGAAGCTGTGGACTGGAGAGACGCCTTAAAGAGCATTGGCTTTCTTTTCCAGAAGACCAGGGTTCGATTCCCGGCACGCACATGACAGTTCATGACTGTCTGTAACTCAAGTTCCAGTGGATCTGGCTCCCTCACACAGACATACCCGCAGGTCAAACACCAATGCACATTTTTTTTAAAAAAAAGAGACAAGAAGGTGCCTGGGGACCCAGGCCATCTGGGTGTATCCTGGCATTTGTTAGGCTGGTTATCTTGTCTGAAGTCACTGGACCACTGCCACACAGGGTGCCCTGGGAGACCGACAGCAGGTTTGGGGGCCTAGGGGAATGCTTGGGGTTTTAGGTATGAGTGTATAGCTTGTATGAGAACAGAAAGTATAGAAAGAACAGCTGTTGAGGGCATCTTGTTGCAAGGGGAAAATCATATCTGTCACAGAAAATCCCCCCCCCCCCGGACCTCAAGATTACAGAGTGGTGGTGCTGGGTGGGGGGGGGAGGAGGGACGGGGACAGGACACAGCACTGGAAGAAAGCCAAAGGAGACAATGTAGGGATCCCATGTTGAGAGGTGCTACTTGGGGGATGCTGTTGGGGGTCTGTGGCCCCTTTAATGATGGTGGCCTACACCGTCTCTCCTAGTCTGCTCAGGATCAAGGCCCAGGACTCCTCCAGGGACTCTATGCCGGTCACCAACATCATGTTCCTCAAGACACATAAGACAGCCAGCAGCACCATGCTCAACATTCTCTACCGCTTTTCGGAATCTCACAACCTGTCCGTGGCGCTGCCCAAGGACTCTATGTTCCACCTGGGTTACCCCTGGCTTTTCGTGGCACGCTACGTGGAGGGCATGGAGCAGAATGGCCCACAGGATCATCACTTCAACGTCATGGGCAACCACTTGCGGTTCAACTTTCCTGAGGTGGGAAACGTGGAGGTGGGAGAACGGGGCGGGCTGGAGGTTGCCTCGCCTGCAGTTTTGGTTGTGAGTGACCGTGGTGCTTGCACGGGCGGAGGTGGGGTGGAGTGGGGTGTAGAGTCAGTGCAGGAGTCGTCTGAAGTTGTAGGGGTGGAGAGGCCTGCCTGCCGACCCTGCCATTCTCTTCAAGCGGCCAGTGGCTTGTAATTGCTCTTGGCATGAGACGTGTAGCCCCAACTCTGTCTTCTTGAGGGCATCTCAACCCTCTCTCATATCCCTGAATTTCTGGTTCTGGAAGAACATACTGGGCTTTTGTTGCCCCTGAACTGTCTGTTGCACCTGCTCCTGCGGTGTGCGAAGGAGTTGGGACAGGTGGGAGTTGGGAACTTTGTATAGTCCATCTAACACAGGAGTCTTGGGGTACCACTTCCTCCTTTTCCAAATAGGTGCAGAAAGTCATGCCCAATGACACTTTCTACTTGTCCATCCTACGAAACCCAGTTTCCCAGCTGGAGTCTTCCTTCATCTACTATAAGAGATATTCGCCTGCCTTCCGGAAAGTCAAGACCTTGGACCAGTTCCTGGCAGATCCGTGGAAGTACTACAACGTCAGCGTGGGCCTGAAAAATGCCTATGCAAGAAACAACATGTGGTTTGACTTTGGCTTCGATAACAATGCTCAGGCTGAAGAGGGCTACGTTCGCAGGTGCCTCTCGGAGGTGGAGCGCCAGTTCCAGCTGGTGCTCATCGCGGACTACTTCGATGAGTCCATGGTGCTGCTGCGCAGGCGGCTGCGCTGGCAGCTGGATGACGTGGTGTCCTTCAAGCTGAACCTACGCAGTCAGCGTACGATCTCGCACTTGAATCCAGAGAGCCAGGAGCGTGCCAAGCGCTGGTGCGAGCTGGACTGGCAGCTCTACCAGCATTTCAACCGCACGTTTTGGGCTCAGCTGTACGCGGAGGTAAGCCCCCGCCAGCTCAGGGAAGAGCTGGCGCAGCTGCGGGCGAGGCGTCGAGAGCTCACCACCCTGTGTCTTCAGGACCCCGAGCCCAAGAACACGACGCAGATAAAAGATCAGAATATGCTCCCCTATCAGTCCGGAGATGCTGAAATTCTGGGCTACAATCTTAGGCAGGGTCTGGACAATGCTACACTGCACATCTGTCAGAGGATGGCGATGCCAGAGCTCCAATACATGGCCCACTTGTACACGCTGCAGTTTCCCGACAAGCCTCCAAAGGACATACCCTTGCCGAAAAAGTAGGGGTTTGGCTAAATGACCCTTTCTCCCCAGGCTTCCCGGGGAGCCTTAAACTTGCCAGCCTACCTTTCCCAAGGGAAGAACAGGGTGAAACCTCTGTGTAGAGATCCACCTATCCCCAGCTCTGGGGAGAGGGCCCAACACCTAAGACAACAGGCACAGCCGGACTCTGGCTGAACCCAACCATTGTAGAGACACGTCCTGGACAGGCCTGAATGCCTTTAATTATCTGTCTGCAGGAGTCAGACTAAACAGGCCATCAGGTGAACATCAGCCTCGGAGAGCACAAGGGCTTAGGCAATGGCCTGGCGACCCATGAAGAGGCTCAGAAAGGCTCCCTGGGAGTTTCTAGCCCCACAGATTCAGCACTGGACCCAGAGCCAGGCTTGCATAGAGCGCTCAGGAAGCAGCTCAAAGGTGGGCCCAGGGGAGATGGGTGAACAGGTGGCCTCCCATCTTTGGCTTTCTGAAGAACGGTGTAGACTGAGAGACGTGAAAGTTGCTGGTTAGCTGCACACAGGTGGGTCCACCTTATAGTGTCCCACTGGACAATCCTGAAGGAGAACGTGCTGGACTTGACAACGGTGCTCAGAGGGTCCCAGGGACCGTTGGTTGCCTTGGAAACCACGATGTGTATAGTCTCAAGGACTTTTTTTTTTTTTTTGGTGCCTCTCTTTGTCATTTGTGGGGAGCTACTAAGTCCCCAGCCCCCAGTTCTTGCAGGATGAGAAACCTGGTTACCTGGGGTGCCTAACACCAAGTAGCCTGGGAAAAGCAAGGTGTCACTGTCACATGCTCAGCCTACAGCTTCAGCTTGAACTTTGTGTTTGTTGAGTCTGAGTGGAGGCTTTTCTTCTGTGTAGGAGCCTCCAGCTCGGGGCAAGAGGGCCCGTGCTCCTTTGGACAGCAATTTAATAGGGGTACTTTAAGAAAAATAATTGTCAGTGAGTTTAGAGATGGTACAACGAATTTATCAATCCAAAAGAACATTGTAAATTGAAAACTGACTTTCCCAAAGTGAACAGAGTTAGTCAAGAATGCCATGGTGGCACCGGCCTTTAATCCCAACATTGGGGAGGCAAAGGCAAGCAGATTTCTGTGTTCAAGATTATCCTGGACATAATAGTGAGTTTCAGGACTTCTGGGGCTACAAAACAAGATCCTGTCTCAAAACAGAACAAAACAGAAAACCACAAACAAACAAAAAACCCAACCAATCAAACAAAAGCGAAACCAAGCTTCTGAATTTGGATGAAATTACTCTTAATAAACTTGTGTTCTCTAGAAGAGCAGGAAGTGCTCTTAGCCTCTGAGACATTTCTCTGGTTCCTTAATTAGAACTTTTCATTCTTAGTAGACTTAATTCTTTTTCTTTTTGTCAGTTGTGGAGACTGATCCCAGGATCTCGAGTGTGCTAGGCAAGTGATTTAACAGTGAGCCATGTCCCCAGCCCTGAACCCTTAATTTCAAGAAAGACTCAGGAAGAAAGAGCATTCAGTTGTTTCTTTCATTCATATACATGTATATGTATGTAAATATATATGTGACAATTGAATATATGGGACAACCTTCAATTGTCTCATATATATATATATATATATATATATATATATATATATACATGTGTGTATGAGCAATTCATGAAAATATTTTGTTTCTTTGAAAACATGCTTTCTCTCAGGAAAAATGTTCTTTATGTAGAATAGGATATATTTGTTGGCAGACACACACACACACACACACCCACACCCACACACACACACACTATTTTCTTAGACTATAAAAAGCCAAGAGTACTTGAATTATAGTCAGCCACTGATGTTTCATTGTTTTGTACTTAGGAATGATTCATAAGTTTTTATGACTTAATTTAAAATTTTTATAAACATGAATCCCATTTTAACTCATACATTATTTTTTTACAACTATTCCTAAATTAGAGTAGGAGTGATTCATAAGTTTCAATGACTTAATTTAAAATTTTTATAAACATGGATCCCATTTCATTCATACATTTTTTTACAACTATACCTAAAATAGACATAAAAATTAAGTTATCAGTTAAGCAAAGTAATATTTATTTCCTATTAAAGACTCTACCCAAAGTCTAATCATTGTCCCAATACACAGGAAGCAATAATGGGCACTGTCCTGCACTCTAATCTATATTTATTCTTTTCACACAAAAACACAACTCTCACCTCAAGGGGATAAGAGATAGTTTGTTCTGGAGCCAAAGGCGAGTGAGTGATCATGACCCAGGAACACCAATTTAGGTTACCTTGAATTCCTATTCCTACCTGAAACAGTTTGATGAAGTTTTCATAGTACCAGAACAAAGAAAGTCATAAATTAAGACACATAAAAAAATATATCGGTAGAAATGTTAGGCAGACGGGTCCCAGGAAAATGAGGAAATCCCTGCTATAGGCCTCAGGTCCCTGACTGATGGCATTCTGAGCCTTCGGGTGGTGGAAACCAGGGTCTGTTTTACTACATTCTCAGAGGTTTATGTCAGCGCCCATAACTGTGAGTCCATTCCACCTTGCCTAGAGGTCAGAGTTCAAACTTGTTTTCTTTCCTTCCTCCCTTCCTCCCTTCCTCCTTCCTCCCTTCCTCCCTTCCTCCCTCCTCCCTTCCTCCCTTTCTTTCTTTCTTTTCTTCTTTTTTGGTTTTTCAAGACAAGGTTTCTCTGTGGCTTTGGTTCCTCTCCTGGAACTAGCTCTTGTAGACCAGACTGGTCTCGAACTCACAGAGATCCTCCTGCCTCTGCCTCCCGAGTGCTGGGATTAAAGGTGTGCGCCACCACTGCCCTGGCTCTGTTTTGCTCTTTCAAAAGTTGTTGTTGACAACAGTGGCTACAAGACAAGAGGCCCTGACCTAAATGGCTAATTAGTGATTTGAGTATGAAAGGTAACAGCTCCATCTTGGCCAAAGGTCAGAGATGCTCTGTTTACGAAGTCTGTTGCCTCCCCTTCTCCTTTTGGAGTGGAGTATAAAAAGACGTGGAAATTAAAGGGCCGGTTCAGTATTCACTCAGTGTCCCTCCCGGTGGTGTTCTATGTTTCGTCTCTTCTTTCTCTCTTATCTCTGTTCCCTTCTGCTTAATAATTATTATAATCCGCATGCTCCTATCCTGGAGCGTGTGAATCCAGTTGAGGCTGGTCCGCGACAGCTGTTCCCATTAGTCACAGGATGCTAGGTCAGACACGGGCGGGCAAGAAGTGGCTAAGGGGCTTGGCTGTGCTGGCAGTTTTCTGTCAGTTTGACACAAGCTAGAGTCATCTGAGAGGATGGAGCCTCAACTGAGAAAATGTCTCCATGAGATCAGGCTGTAGGGAAGACTGTATTTTCTTAACCAGTGACTGATGGGGGAGGGTCCAACCCAGCAGGGGGTGGGGCCATTCCTGGGCCCCTGGCCCTGGATCCCATAAGAAAGCAGACTGAGCAAGTCAGAAAGCAGCCCCCCTCCATGGCCTCTGCATCCGTTTCTGGTCCAGCTTGTCATCCGGTTTGAGTTCTTGCTTTGATTCCCTCAATTCAGGATGTGTGAGCCAAATGAACCCTTTCCTCCTCAACTCTCTTGCTCACAGTGTTTCATCCCAGCAACCCTAGTGATCACAGGCGCTGGAGAGAACTCAGGAGAAGTTGCGGCATCCCAGCCTCTCCACGATTGAGATTCTAACCAGTTAATCAGCCTTAGAGGAAGTTTAATGTAGGCTATGGTTCTTTCTAGAAACTTGTCCCAAGTCCCTCTGTTTACCAACCGTCACATTTTGTGTATCTAGGGGCCACATAGCTTTGTTGTCTCACATCCCTGGGGTCTGATGTAGCTGAGGCTGGATGAAGACACCGTCCCTGCACCCCGAAAGAAAGTCCAGAGAGGAAACTATTGAAGAGATCCCTTTGAAACTGTGATAGTGTAGATCTTCACAGCTGGTGGTTTCTCGCAGACAGTGGGGAAAGGGGTAGGCTACCGGGAGTGTGACCATGCTCCCGTGGCTGTATGGCTGTATGGTCAATACAAATTGGACTTGCTGTTTTGTTTTTTTGGGGGTGGGGCACAAGGATGGAAGGAATGGGAATTGAGTGTAATCAGGTGCATTGTGTGAAATTCCCAAATAATTAATAAAAATATTATGTTGGGAAAATCCCTAGATTGAGTATATGTTTCCCCTGTATTTATTTATATTCTATAGACTATTTATACTTACGATATTGGAAAAAAAAACACTATCCTTTAATTTTAGGTTTTCTTTTGGCCAGTTTGATCTAGTTATAATTTCATTGGAGTGGCTACCTCTAATTCTTCTTCTTCTTCTTCTTCTTCTTCTTCTTCTTCTTCTTCTTCTTCTTCTTCTTCTTTTTGGTGGGAGGGCACTGTCTCATTGTGTATCCCTGGTTGACCTAGAACTCACTGTGTAGACCAGACCGGCCTCAAATTCACATAGATCTACATGCTTCTGCCTTCCAGGTGCTGGGAGAAAGGAGTGTGCTACCATACCTGGCTTAAACTTAAATTTAAAAAACAAACAAAAAAAAACTTAAATTCTTAAGAAAGATTGATTTCTGTATCTAAGTCATCAAAATTCTTAACTGTGGATACTCACATGAAAAGATTTTAAGTCTTATGATTGTACAAAGGTTTTAGTTTGGAAAAGTAAATGAAAAGTCACAGGAGGAATTGGGCAGCAAGATAGTATCCTTCTAAAAAAATTCTAACATAATTATCTTTGCCTGTGACCTTCATTATTACTAAGAACTGTGATAGAAAAAGAGATCAGCCCTGCTAGAAATCAGAATTTGTTATAGGCCTTGTAGGTATAATCCTTTTTTGTTTGTTTGGTTTTTGTTTTTGTTTTTTGAGACAGGGTCTCTCTGTGTAGCCCTGGCTGTCCTGGAACTTGCTCTGTAGACCAGGTTAGCCTTGAACTCACAGAGATCTGCCTGCCTCCATTCTGTACCTCTGACTCCCTCTGTCTCACTGGCGAACCACGCCCCTGCCAGATTCTAAAACAGAGTTCCTATCTCTGCCTAGAAGTCCTGCCTAGTCTCTTCTGCCTAGCTATTGGACATTCAGCTGTTTATTAAACCAATCAGAAGGCGCCCCAGTCAGATGAGGCAAAACAGAGATACATACTCACAGGGTACAGAAAGATTTTCCCAGAGCAGGTTCCCCTTCCAGAGCTTCTGTTGGATGTGTTATTGTCCTTTTGTTAGCTATGGTAAGCAGGAGACACAGCCCATAGTTTCCTCCAGCAGAATTTTGAGTTCTCTAACTCTTTAGGGAGCTCCACCCAGGTAGAGAGCTGAATGGCCAATAGCTAGGCAGGAGAGGGATAAGCGGGACTGCCAGGCAGAAAGAATAGGAGGAGAAATCTAGGCTTGAAAGAAAAGAGGGAGAAGAGAGAAAAGAAGAAGGAGAGGAGGACACCAGGGACCAGGCGCCCAACCACACAGCCAGCCATGGAGTATGAAAGAAAGCATGATATAAAGAATAAAGCAAGACAAAACGTTCAGAGGCAAAATGTAGTTAAAGGGAAATGGGA